TATACCTTTTAAAGAACGTCTTTGGTGGCGTAATTGGAATTACTGAAAATATGGGTGCCATGCCATTCTAAAGATGTTTATTCTGCCTGTAAGATTTAAGGGGAAATTATTCAATTTAATTAGATCTGCTATCATATTGTTGAGTAATGGGATAAAGTTATCTTTATATATTTGTTGTTTGTTGTCACTTATTAAGCATCCTAAGTATTTAAAAATTTTTGTGGTCCACTTAAAGGATTGATGTAGATCATGAGTAATTATTTTCTTTTTCCTATTGCCATTATTTTGTTTTTTCCCACATACATTTTATATCCTGAGATTTTTTTGTATTCTGGAAATATTTTTAGCAAAGGGGGCATTGAGTTTTCAGTATTGGTCAGGTACAGTACCGGTCAAAAGTTTGGACACACCTTCTCATTCAAGGGTTTTTATTTTTATTATTTTCTACATTGTAGAATAATAGTGAAGACATCAAAACTATGAAATAACATATATGGAATCATGTAGTAACCAAAAAAGTGTTAAACAAATCAAAATATATTTTATATTTGAGATTCTTCAAATAGCCACCCTTTGCCTTGAAGACAGCTTTGCACACTCTTGGCATTCTCTCAACCAGCTTCACCTGGAATGCTTTTCCAACAGTCTTGAAGGAGTTCCCACATATGCTGAGCACTTGTTGGCTGCTTTTCCTTCACTCTGCCATCCGACTCATCCCAAACCATCTCAATTGGGTTGAGGTCGGGTGATTGTGGAGGCCAGGTCATCTGATGCAGCACTCCATCACTCTCCTTCTTGGTCAAATAGCCCTTAGACAGCCTGGAGGTGTGTTGGGTCATTGTCCTGTTGAAAAACAAATGACAGTCCGACTAAGCGCAAACCAGATGGGATGGCGTATTGCTGCAGAATGCTGTGGTAGCCATGCTGGTTAAGTGTGCCTTCAATTCACAGACAGTGTCACCAGCGAAGCCCCCCTACACCATAACACCACCACCTCCATGCTTCACAGTGGGAACCACACATGCGGAGATCATCCGTTCACCTACTCTGCGTCTCACAAAGACACGCCGGTTGGAACCAAAAATCTCACATTTGGACTCATCAGACCAAAGGACAGATTTCCACCGGTCTAATGTTCATTGCTCGTGTTTCTTGGCCCAAGCAAGTCTCTTCTTCTTACTGGTGTCCTTTAGTAGTGGTTTCTTTGCAGCAATTCGACTATGAAGGCCTGATTCACGCAGTCTCCTCTGAACAGTTGATGTTGAGATGTGTCTGTTACTTGAACTCTGTGAAGCATTTATTTGGGCTGCAATTTCTGAGGCTGGTAACATTAATGAACTTATCCTCTGCAGCAGAGGTAACTCTTGGTCTTCCTTTCCTGTGGCGGTCCTCATGAGAGCCAGTTTCATCATAGTGCTTGATGGTTTTTGCGACTGCACTTGAAGAAACTTTCAAAGTTCTTGAAATGTTCTTGATTGACTGACCTTCATGTCTTAAAGTAACAATGGACTGCTTATTTAGCTGTTCTTGACATGATATGGACTTGGTCTTTTACCAAGTATTCTGTATACCACCCCTACCTTGTCACAACACAACTGATTGGCTCAAACGCATTAAGAAGGAATGAAATCCCACAAATTAACTTTTAACAAGGCACACCTGTTAATTGAAATGCATTCCAGGTGACTACCTTATGACGCTTGTTCAGATAATGCCAAGAGGGTGCAAAGCTGTCATCAAAGCTGTCATCAAGGAAAAGGGTGGCTACTTTGAAGAATCTCACATATAAAATATATTTTGATTTGTTTAACACTTTTTTGGTTACTACATGATTCCAAATCAATGAAATGTATTTATAAATACCTTTTTTGCATCAGCAGATGTCACTAAGTGCTATACAGAAACCCAGCCTAAAACCTCAAACAGCAAGCAATGCAGATGTAGAAGCACGGTGGCTAGGAAAAAGTCCCTAGAAAGGCTGGAATCTAGGAAGAAACCTAGAGCGGAACCGGGATCTGAGGGGTGGCCAGTCCTCTTCTGGCTGTGCCGGGTGGAGATAAGAGTACACGGCCATCTAAGGCCATATGTGTTATTTCATAGTTTTGATGTCTTCACTATTATTCTACAATGTATAAAATAGTAAAAATAAAGAAAAACCCTGGAATGAGTAGGTGTGTCCAAACTTTTGACTGGTACTGTATATTTTAAAAATATATTTTTTAAAGAAAGGCCATTCAAGACGGTCAAAAGCCTTTTTGGCATCAACAGCCATTATTGTGAATGTTTTAACAGTATCTAATATTTCTTCTTGGGTGATCACTGTTTTGCTGTTTTGCTGATAATTGCTTCAGAGTTGTTGAGTCTAAGAAGGCTATAGAATCCGTCCAACTGTTGTTTTAATTCTGATTTATATAGATTTTCATCAAAGATTTTAAAATGGTAATTAATAACATTATTTCTAATTACCGCTCTTTCATCTTTTAAAATTAATTTGTTTAGCATGTATTCGTTTTGTGAGAGCTGCGAGATATTTACCAGGTTTATTTTCCATTAAGTAGTATGCTATATCTGAGGTTAACCTGTAGTTGTTGGCTCTCTTCAAAAGTAAAATATCTTATTCATGCTTAAGTTCTGACATTTTATTTTCTTCTTTACCTTGTAAAGGTTTTTTTATGGGCTTTTTCTAAGATAGTGATTTATTTTTCTTACATTTAATTTAGAAATAAACATTTAACTTTTGCCTAGTATGAGATTATCATCCCCCTAATGTACGCCTTAAAGGCATCCCAAATTATATCGGGAGTTGGCTTTTCTCTGTCCTTTGTCTACATTTGTAATAGTAAAGGTTGAAAAAAATATATTTATGTATTTAATAAATTTTGGGTCCAGAAGATGCGCTCTGTTCATTTTCAAAACTCTGTCGCTAAGTGTATTTATTTTCTATTGGTGTAATTAAACATGATACCGGAGAATGATCCGATATCACTATATTTACATTTTAGTCATTTAGCAGACGCTCTTATCCAGAGCGACTTACAGTTAGTGAGTGCATACATATTTGTTTATTTTTTTCATACTGGCCCCCCCTTGGGAATCGAACCCACAACCCTGGCGTTGCAAACGCCATGCTCTACCAACTGAGCTACACGGGACTATATCATTAAAAAAAATATCCAGTAAAATGTAGTCAATTCTTGAATAGCTTTTCTTACTTTGAGAAAAAAAGGAATAGTCTTTTGTAGTTGGGACTAATAATTTCAGCCTCTTTTCCAGCCACACAAGCAGAGTGATTTGTTTCTTAGCCTTTTCTCCTCGGTGAGATATCAACACCTCCTGGTCCACCGTTTCACAGTTTTGTTGCTCGAATAGAAGCACACTAACGCGCAAAGTTCAGTTATAACAGTCTCTCACTTTCGTTGCACTGCAGAAACCCAATAAAATGTTCATAGTCTGTTAAACACGTCAGCATACTGGCCTCTTGTGTCAAACATGCTGAGAGCAAATATGGAGGCTACAAATGAATACATCGAACTATAGAACGTTGGTCAGGTCATACAAAGTACCAGACCCATTTAAGACATGATCCATGCAACTACAAATGACCTATGCAACAACAATTGGCAAACGTCACACACCACACATCAAAATGTTCATATTGATCATATTAGAAGTTAATTATTAAAGACTCACTCAAGCTATTTTTTTGGAAGTTGTCCTATTGAAAAACAATATTCCAACTATAAATACAATAATGTACACACAGTTAAGGTTGTTTTTTAGACACAACTGCAAACTTCAAGAGTTGGCCATTCAATGAGTTGGTCTGATGGGTTTAGTCTGATGTCATCGTCTTCCCCCATGCTTGTGGGAACAATAGAGGAAACATTGCACGTCAGTTTGGCTGACCACTGGACAGATTATTATGGGGTTCTCTATTTCCTCACACAATGGCAGGGGCAATACAGGGGAGTAAAAGCTTTCAAAAGACTTTAGATTAATTTAAATGTCAGGAAATTTGCGGTCTGAGGACTGGTAGATGGGGACAATGTTCCTAGGGTTGAATTCAAATAATTTGAGGTCATCCTGTCATAGACTAGAGCCTGACAGAGGGCAGAACATTCATGCATTCAGACATTGAAAATGTATGCACTCACCTAACTGTAAGTCGCTCTGGATAAGAGCGTCTGCTAAATGACTAAAATGTAAATGTAAAATGTAAAATGTAAATGTAATTGAGACTGCACTCACAGAGAGCACGTGAATGTAATGGTTGCTCGATTTAGAACCAAGGTGTATAGTGCCATCGTCTGGCCTCATGTTTTATTTGATTTAACCTTTATTTAACTAGGCAAGTCAGTTAAGAACAAATTCTTATTTACAGTGACGGCCTACACCGGCCAAACCTGGACGACGCTGGGCCAATTGTGCAGAGCTACACACCCAATAAGTAGCCTATTAATTCCAATTAATATCCAGGGAATACACAATAAATAATCCCTATTACACTGGTTATAAAGTAATAACGTTTTTTCACTATATCTAAAGGCCAGCAATGCATTTGATTTTGCAATGCAATAGTTTAACAGTGAGTTTTACTCTAATGTTGACGATGGTTTTCAATTTATACCTGTGTTTATGATGATCTTACATTTACATTTTAGTCATTTAGCAGACGCTCTTATCCAGAGCGACTTACAGGAGCAATTAGGGTTAAGTGCCTTGCTCAAGGACACATCGACAGATTTTTCACCTAGTCGGCTCGGGGATAAGAACCAGCGCCCTTTCGGTTACTGGCACAACGCTCTTAACCACTAAGCTACCTGCCGTGTCCTAGTTAACTTTGACATACATACGTCACAAAATCTAAATATCGGTAGAGCAGAATACTCAATAAGTAAATTGTATTTCTGTTACATAAATGTAACATTACTTTTCGAACCATGCGCTTCAATGTTGCTATCCTGAATGCGCCCCATTTGAACCGGATGTAAAACCTCCGTCGGGGTCACGTTTATTGTGAGGAAATAGCTATGTCTCCTCCGATCTTATTCAACTTCAACGATGCAAAAGATACATTTACAGTAAGAACTTGCCTTCAATATGGTGTATTTCAGAATCTCTTATAAGCTTGATTGAAATTTTTATAACATCTTTGTAGAAACGCTTACAATAACTTTGCAAGCCAAGCATGATTCATTACATTAGCCACGCGTTAGCTAGCTGTCTAACTTGCTAGCTAGCTAGATAACGTTGGCAGATTATAATGTGTAGTCTCAAGAAAACTAAACTATTATTCTTTGTTGATTGGTTATAACTCTCACCTAGGCCGCAACCAGAAGTGCATTGGACAACAAAACCAGCAAACCTTTGATAAACGCATTCAACCAGGTCACTGGAAAGTACGTTAAGTGGATAACGTTACATAACTAGCGGTCTATATAAATGAAATGATCTCTAGGCTTTGCATCTTCTGCCCACCTCACCACTGACCGTATCTGCCTGCTTGTCTCTCCACAGTGAAACAGAGAAGAAGACCACCCTTGACCAAGCTCTAAGGCAGGTCCTGGAGGAGCAGATTGTAAGTTGAAAGTGTATTTTATCCATAGTATAGGTATACTGCTAGTACATGGTCATGTTTATGCTCAATATGCTTTACGAATCATTTGTGAGAGCCATAGCTGGAGTCGAGTAACTTTCTCCCTTTCTCTCCTTTTCTTCTACAGGTGGAAAAGAAAGCACTCGTCGATGACTTCCTGTCTCTCATCTATCTCAGCATTGATGGAGTCACTGAAGGTAAGCAGCAGGCTCAGTGAGGCTGAACGTCACTTCATAACATCGCTACCTCTGTTCTACCTCCTTAGTATTTAATTGATATACATGCCTGACAGCAAATGATGTAGTAAACTATAGTAAATTCCTTGTCCATGCAGGTATCTGCTCCGCCACTACTCCTTTCCTACTTTTGGGAGATGTTCTGGACTGTCTACCTCTTGACCAGTGTGATAAGATCTTTTCCTTTGTTGAAGAGAATGTCTCCACCTGGAAGTCTGTGAGTAGCTTAGTCTATGTTTAGCTGCGTTCTTAAAGTACGGTCAATGTAATTATTGTACTTGGTGACCATTTCCTTATAGAAGATCTTTCCTTTGGTTATTGAGGAAATAACACCAATAATTATTTCTCCTCTCTCACTTTCAGAACTCCTTCTACACTGCTGGGAAGAACTACCTGTTAAGGATGTGTAATGGTGAGGATAAAGTCACACGTTTGTTGTTGTTACCTTGATATGTGCAGCTTTTCCGTCATTAAACACCTTCTGACCCTGCAGATCTTTTGAGGAGGTTGTCCAAGTCTCAGAACACAGTCTTCTGTGGGCGGATCCAGCTGTTCCTGGCTCGTCTCTTCCCCCTGTCAGAGAAATCAGGTGAGAGGATTACATAGATCTCAATCACTACAGGAACGAAGATCATTCATGTTTAGTCATGGATGTGGACATGTGGCCACCATTGTGTTCTTTATGTGTTCCTGTGTGGGTTTCAGGGCTGAACTTGCAGAGCCAGTTTAATCTTGACAACATCACAGTGTTCAACAAAAATGAGCAGGAAAGCACTCTAGGCCAGAGGGTAAGGCCTTGTTCTAAGGGTTACAGATACTGGATAGAGTGTGAGCTGTTTAATGATATTATAGATATTGTATGTGTGCTGTTGAATGTGTTTAACAATGAATTAACCCTCAACACTAACTCTGTCCTGTGTTGTATTCTACAGCCCACAGAGGAAAAAGAGGATGGGATGGAGGTGGAGGAGGGGGAGATGGGAGATGAGGAACCTGGTGCACCTGCACCATGGTTAGCAACATGAATCCTTGTTCTGTCTATCACAATGCTTGGAATCATCAGTGGTTGTTCATGAACATAGCTATTACACAGAGCCCTACACTGGCAAGTTTTGTTGAACGTCTTTTTGCAGCTTGCTAAAACAAGTTTCCACCTATGACATTGCTCTCTTTGTTTGTAGTTCCATCCCCATTGACTACAACCTATACAGGAAGTTCTGGACCCTGCAGGACTACTTCAGAAACCCTGTTCAGTGTTACGAAAAGTTCTCCTGGATTACTTTCCTCAAGGTGACTCTTGTGCCATCTAACCTTTTCTTCTAAAATTGTTTTAGGCCATTTTTTATTTGAACATCTGCTAAAAGTATGACGCTTTGCTTTAAAATGTTTCTTGTTCAAAACTCACTGGCCATGTTTGTTCCTTTGAGAAGGCAGTGAAAATATGTTTGAGTTCATGGAAATGTTCTGTATGTTGTCTGTAGTATTCAGACGAGACGTTGGCGGTGTTTAAGAGCTTTAAGCTGGATGACATGCAGGCTTCTAAGAGGAAGCTGGAGGAGCTGAGAACGGCAGAAGGAGACCACGTCTACTTCGCAAAGTTCCTCACCAGCGAGAAGGTTGCATATCTCACCCTCCTAATCAATTAAGAATAGAGCTATGCATGAGTGCTTGAGATTGACTACATTACAGTGAAAGTGCACAGTCACTGGTCTACAAATCACCTTGCATCCCAAATAAGTAATCATTATGTGATTGATGTTAGCAATTCTGCGCCTCGACTTGTTTAAATGGATCCCCTCAAATACGCTGACAGTCTCTCTTTTTGACCATCTAGTTAATGGACCTGCAGCTCAGTGACAGTAACTTCAGACGACACATCCTCCTGCAGTACCTTGTCCTGTTCCAGTACCTAAAGGGACAGGTCAAGTTCAAAAGGTGAGATTGCCCAAAAAGGTGACCCCGTGCCACTCCATCATACCCTATGGCAGGTTGAATGCAATGTAGATTGTCTAGCAGGAGAAGACGTCATAGTAAAATCCACAATGCGCTTTGACTGCTGTTTTGCCTCTTTGCCTAACTATTTTCCTGTTGCTACAGCTCCAGTTGTATCCTGAATGATGACCAGTGTTTGTGGATGGAGGAGACCACCAAACTGGTGTACCAGGTCTGTGTGTGTTTTTTCTCTCTAGTCCATAGATGTCACGGCACATTGTTGGGGATGTTGTACTAACCTGTCTAACTTGTTTCCATGTAGCTGCTCAAAGAGATCCCACCTGATGGAGACAAGTTTGCCACCATGGTTGAGGTAAGACTAGTCTGAAGATTCTGGTATTCCGGACGTCTTTGTAGTTCCTGCTAGTTCAAATGTTTTATGAGGGACATCACAACATGTAGCCTACTGTTTGACAAGTCAAGGTGAGACAGGTAAAGGGTTATTGATGACAATGAAAGCTTAAACTCCTCTCTTATATTTTGACAGCATGTCTTAAACACAGAGGAGAACTGGAACTCGTGGAAAAATGAGGGATGTCCAAGCTTTGTGAAGGACAGGTATGGAATCAGAATTCAACAAACTCATGATCATATATTTATAAAAATATTCATTGTCAACACAAAGTACAAATTGAAAACGTATATCATACAGTTGAAGTCGGAAGTTTACATACACTTAGGTTGGAGTCATTAACACTTGTTTTTCAACCACTCCACAAATTTCTTGTTAACAAACTATAGTTTTGGCAAGTCGGTTAGGACATCTACTTTGTGCATGACACAAGTTATTTTTCCAACAATTGTTTAGACAGATTATTTTACTTATAATTCACTGTATCACAATTCCAGTGGGTCAGAAGTTTACATACACTAAGTTGACTGTGCCTTTAAACAGCCTGAAAAATTCCAGAAAATGATGTAATGGCTTTAGAAGCTTCTGATTGACATCATTTGAGTCAATTGGAGGTGTACCTGTGGATTTATTTCAAGGCCTACCTTCAAACTCAGTGCCTCTTTGCTTGACATCATGGGAAAATCAAAAGAAATCAGCCAAGACCTCAGAAAACAATTGTAGACCTCCACAAGTCTGGTTCATCCTTGGGAGCAATTTCCAAACGCCTGAAGGTACCACGTTCATCTGTACAAACAATAGCACGCAAGTATAAACACCATGGGACCACGCAGCCGTCATACCGCTCAGGAAGGAGACGCGTTCTGTCTCCTAGAGATTAACGTACTTTGGTGCGAAAAGTGCAAATCAATCCCAGAACAACAGCAAAGGACCTTGTGAAGATGCTGGAGGAAACAAAAGTATCTATATCCACAGTAAAACGAGTCCTATATCGACATAACCTGAAAGGCTGCTCAGCAAGGAAGAAGCCACTGCTCCAAAACCGCCATAAAAAAGCCAGACTACGGTTTACAACTGCACATGGGGACAAAGATCATACTTTTTGGAGAAATTTCCTCTGGTCTGATGAAACAAAAATAGAATTGTTTGACCATAATGACCATCGTTATGTTTGGAGGAAAAAGGGGGTACTTGCAAGCCGAAGAACACCATGCCAACCGTGAAGCACTGGGGTGGAGCATCATGCTGTGGGGGTGCTTTGCTGCAGGTGGGACTGGTGCACTTCACAAAATAGATGGCATCATGAGGAAGGAAAATTATGTGGATATATTGAAGCAACATCTCAAGACATCAGTCAGGAAGTTAAAGCTTGGTCGCAAATGGGTCTTCCAAATGGACAATGACCCCAAGCATACTTCCAATGTTGTGGCAAAATGGCTTAAGGACAACAAAGTCAAGGTATTGGAGTGGCCATCACAAAGCCCTGACCTCAATCCTATAGAAAATGTGTGGGCAGAACTGAAAAAGTGTGTGCGAGCAAGGAGGCCTAAAAAACCTGACTCAGTTACACCAGCTCTGTCAGGAGGAATGGGCCAAAATTCACCCAACTTATTGTGGGAAGCTTGTGGAAGGCTACCCGAAACGTTTGACCCAAGTTAAACAATTTAAAGGCAATGTTACCAAATACTAATTGAGTGTATGTAAACTTCTAACCCACTGGGAATGTGATGAAAGAAATAAGTCATTCTCTCTACTATTATTCTGACATTTCACATTCTTAAAATAAAGTGGTGATCCTAACTGACCTAAGACAGGGAATTTTTACTAGGATTAAATGTCAGGAATTGTGAAAAACGGAGTTTAAATGTATTTGGCTAAGGTGTATGTAAACTTCAACTGTACAATCAAGGGAGGAATATATACAGTGCTAGCATCATGAATTATACAAATGTATCTCTCCCCCCTCAGACCAGTAGATGACAAACCCAAGAGACCCACGAGGAAAAGACAAGCTCCAGAAGATTTCCTGGGTAAAGGCCCTGACAGGAAGGTCTTCATGGGGAAGTAAGTAGCAATTCTAACCTGTCCTCTGTATGTCAATGATGACTGTGACAAACTAGTCATGTGTTCTCCAAAACCATGGACTGTTTAGATATGCCCAGTAGGATTATTTACAATGCCTAGCCCTCACATTGGAGTCTAATGAAAAGTGTAACGAGTGACACGGCTGAGCTTCTCTTGCACTTGGCTTTGCCAAAACGCGTGTGTGTTTTCTTTCAGTGATGAACTCACGAGACTTTGGAATCTGAACCACGACAATATGGCGGCTTGTCAGTCAGAGAGCAGGTGAGTGATTTTACATCATACATCAGTGTGGAGCTGGTCAGTTACATAGCCCACCTACCTACCTGGAAGGTTTTTGTGTATAACTTGCTTGTTGTTTACCCAGTTCAAAAAACATTATTTCAGTGTACTGTTTGTTGTTGACCCTACATAATGATTGTAAATGTCTTGTCCACAGGGAGTTTATGCCTTCTCTGGAAGATTTCTTTGAAGAGGCCATTGAACAGGCTGACCCAGCCAACATGGTGGAAAATGAATACAAGTATGTGTACACTACCGGTCAAACGCTTTAGAACACCTACTCATTCAAGGGTTTTTCTTTATTGTAGAATAATAGTGAAGACATCAAAACTATGAAATGAAAACTGAAGAATGCTTTTCCAACAGTCTTGAAGGAGTTCCCACATATTCTGAGCACTTGTTGGCTGCTTTTCCTTCACTCTGCGGTCCGACTCATCCCAAACCATCTCAATTTGGTTGAGGTCAGGGGATTGTGGAGGCCAGGTCATCTGATGCAGTACTCCATCACTCTCCTTTTTGGTAAAATAGCCCTTACACAGCCTGGAGGTGTGTTGGGTCATTGTCCTGTTGAAAAACAAATGATAGTCCCACTAAGCCCAAACCAGATGGGGTGGCGTATCGCTGCAGAATGCTGTGGTAGGTATGCTGGTTAAGTGTGCCTCGAATTCTAAATAAATCACAGACAGTGTCACCAGCAAAGCACCCCCACACCATAACACCTCCTTCTCCATGCTCTACGGTGGGAACTACACATGCAGAGATCATCCGTTCACCCACGCCGCTTCTCACAAAGACACGGCTGTTGGAACCAAAAATCTCCAATTTGGACTCCAGTTTCTTGGCCCCAAGCAAGTCTCTTCTTATTTGTGTCCTTTTGTAGTGGTTTATTTGCAGCAATTCGACCATGAAGGCCTGATTCACAGTCTCCTCTGAACAGTTGATGTTGAGATGTCTGTTACTTGAACTCTGTGAAGCATTTATTTGGGCTTCAATTTCTGAGGCTGGTAACTCTAATGAACTTATCCTGTGCAGCAGAGGTAACTCTGGGTCTTCCGTTCCTGTGGCGGTCCTCATGAGAGCCAGTTTCATCATATCGCTTGATGTTTTTTGCGACTGCACTTGAAGAAACTTTCAAAGTTCTTGAGATTTTCCATATTGACTGACCTTCATGTCTCTTTGCTTATTTGAGCTGTTCTTGCCATAATATGTACTTGGTCTTTTACCAAATAGGGCTATCTTCTGTATAACCCCCCTACCTTGTCACAACACAACTGATTGGCTCAAACGCATTAAGAAGGAAAGAAATTCCACAAATTAACTTTTAAAAAGGCACACCTGTTAATTGAAATGCATTCTAGGTGACTACCTCATGAAGCTGGTTAAGAGAATGCAAAGCTGTCATCAAGGCAAAGGGTGGCTATTTGAAGAATCTCAAATATTTTGATTTGTTTTAACACATTTTTAGTTACTACATGATTCCAGATGTGTTATTTCATAGTTTTGATGTCTTCACTATTCTACAATGTAGAAAATAGTAAAAATAAAGAAAAACCATTGAATGAGTAGGTGTTCTAAAACTTTTGACCGGTAGTGTATACAAGTGTAATGGAACTGATGATTGTCTAATGTCCTAAGACTTAACCAATGGTGTAAAGAAATATCCTGCCATGAGAAAAGTGTTCTGGTGCAATAGTCTTCAACTAACCTCCACCTTCCGTGTCATGTAGGGTGGTGCATAACTCCAACTATGGCTGGCGAGCCCTGCGTCTGCTGTCCAGGAGGAGTCCTCACTTCTTCCAGCCCACCAACCAGCAGTTCAAGAGCCTGGCTGACTACCTAGAGAGCATGGTCATCAAACTTGCAAAGGAGCTGCCGGTGAGAAGTCTGGTCTGGCTGGGGTGGAACCATGGGTGCATGGTTACTCAAACATTTCATGACGACATAGGTGGTCGTCTTGGCCCCCTTGGGAGCATAGGGCGTTCATGTCTCCACCTCACTCTTTATTGATTCCTTTGCCCTGTCATCACAGAAGGACCTTCCATCTGAGGAGATAAAGACAGGAGAGGAAGACGATGACGACAACAGTGACACCCTGCTCAAGGATAGCAATGACAGTGAGTTCATAAAACTAACGTCTATAGCTTCTAGATATTGTCTGAGTAATAGTTGTAAAATATTTTTTATATTGTCCAGATCAAATACATTTAGTTTATATCTTTTTGATTTTACAAAAACATCACCTGATTAATTCCTTCATTTTGTGTGCCCCCAGGTCCGAGCATGCAGACCAAGCTGGTGACCAACCAGCAGATGGATGAGATAGCAGCCAAGCTGGGTGCCCAGTGGAAGACCCTGGCTGGCCAGCTGGAGATAAAGGCAGCAGAGATCCGGGAGATTGAGACCGATAGCGAGGATGTGGACATGCAGGCCAAGCTGCTGCTGGTGGCCTGGCAGGACCGGGAAGGGACACAGGCCACCGTTGAGAGCCTGGTCACAGCCCTCAACGCTGCTGGCTTCCCCAAGATTGCAGACATCCTCAACGAGACATAGAACATGACCCCCCATCTATTCCTGTTTTAATGCACCCCTCCCTGGCTTGTGTCAATTCTTTCCTTTTGTTGGTCTCTAGTTATGCTCAAGGGACATGTACTGTAATTTTGTCCTCTGTAGAATCTTCAATAAATCTTTTTTCTAAATAAACACTACTTTGACCAGCAGCTTTATTCATTGAGCTAAAACTATGATCCCTCAAGACAATGTATACTTTGTAACGTCTTCTAGTCATCCGGGCAGGGCATGTGGTCCTCTGTAGCTCAGCTGGTAGAGCACGGCGCTTGTAACGCCAAGGTAGTGGGTTCGATCCCCGGGACCACCCATACACAAAATATATAATGTATGCACGCATGACTGTAAGTCGCTTTGGATAAAAGCGTCTGCTAAATGGCATATTAAATTATTCAATATTATTTAGATTCATAACATCTAAATAACACTTAAATGGGCACCTCAACCCCCTCCACTCCCAAAAAACTAACTGCACTTGTACTTGACTCCCCCCCCCCCCCCCTTCCAGCTCTGACTACTGATAGCTACATTGAGGAAAACAATTATTTCTATGCCTGTGATCTTAAGATGAATGCACTAACTAGAGCGTCTAAATGAATCAAATGTAAATTCATAGAACTACGGATGCAAGGACTGACCATCCATGATATCAAAATTGTTTAACCATGTTCCGAGTCTACACATGCTTTGTTTACAATGGAGTAAAAACAATTTGGTTTCTGATGTTAGAAAGTTGAACTAAGCTCACAAGGCATGTAAGTTAGATTCTTGAAGAATCTATAGCTATATATCAATATAAAAGTAAAATGGATGTAGCAAACGCATATTGCCCCTTTAAATTAATGAAAAAGTACACCATTTCAAAAGTAAAACAAATCACAAAACATGGTTTGGTATAACGGTTTACTTTCACCATTTATGAAAAGCGATCAGTTAATAACTTATTACAGAGAGACCGTCGTAGGTCTTACACATAGTTGGCAGGGTGGTGGTCAAGATAATGACTGCATGTATGAGAGAGTGAAGCGTTATAGTCATACAGTATCAGAGCAGAGACATTGAACCGCTCGTATGATGAGAAATAACCCCAACTACAAGGACAAAAGCAATGTGTTAAGACAAAACCATGTCTTGTAAATGTTTCCCAGTAAGCAATGGTTGGGGGGGGGGGTCTCCAATACATGTTATATGAATGAAAGGTCCAGGGTATCTCGAAAGACACCTTGAAACAATATAGCTTGGCCAAAGACTTTATTTCTGTACAAGCTGATTAGATATGACTACAGACAAGTACTATGACATAAGCACCTTGTTCAAGGCTTTACAAAATATACAATATGTATAAACATATAATTAAACTGCAGAACTAAATCTCTCAAAACCTCTCAAGGATCCAGTCCAGAGATTGCCTGTCTCTCTATAATAATAATAAACAATTAAAAACCTTCCTTTGATAGATAAACTACCTCCACTCATGTTGATGCAGGATGGGTTTACAAGCATCTGTGTGAAGAAGTTACAAAAACTAAAAATTAAGGTCATCCATTTTTATAGACACCCAGAATTTATTGCACATCTACGCAAAGTAGACAGCTTGGAAATGGCATTTGTGTGTTGGTTGGCTAGATTTCATTTATTTGCGTTTAGGTTGGTTACTGTTGCTCTTCAAGTATTTCCAGCCGTCGGGGTCCGTACAGTAGGACGTAGGCTATGTGCCAGTCTCCTCCACCGGACAGCCTCAGTATATCCTCTGGAGACACCACGCTCACCTTGTCGTCGTCAAACTTCACCCACTCATCTATGACGGAAAAACATGGATGTATACAAAACATAAGTTATATTATTCACCTGTACCTCGATAAAACATGAATATAAAACATTAATACAGTCGTTTGAATTACTCAGATAGAGTCAGCAACGCACAAGGTAAACAGCAATATCGAGCCGACTTCCACAACAAATAAGAGTGCGAAACGTGAGGCTAAACTTCTCCGCTGTTTTGGTCCCGCAGCCATCACGTTGCAACAGTGTGAAGTGTAGCCGTGCACATACGCATATACTCTGAGTGCATCGTCTTGTATTGCGCTCATCTGCAATATCAGCTGTTCATCCGGCTGCTATGTGGCAACGTCATATCGCCGAGCCTTAGTTTAAGGGATAGTTCACCAAAATCAATGTGTTCAGACAAGTGGTCAAATCTCTGGGTCCATATCCCACACCCTCTGGTTATGTTGAACTGACTGAGGTGAACTATGCCTTTAAAAGAGATAGTTCACCCGAATTACAAATTGACACGTTGGTTTCCTTACCCTGTAAGCAGTCTATAGACAAGGCATGACAGCAATCCACGCTTTGGTTTAGTTTCCCTGGCACTGTTTCCACATGCTAACATTTTAGTCTGTGGCATGAATCCCATTCAAGTCAATGGACTGATATTAGCATTTTTCATGCATCATGCACAAATCATCCAAAAGTATCTCAAATAGATTGTGAAGCCCCGACAAAGTCACATACAGTCGTGGTCAGAAGTTTTGAGAATGACACAAATATTAATTTTCACAAAGTCTACTGCCTCAGTTTTTATGATGGCAATTTGCATATACTCCAGAATGTTATGAAGAGTGATCAGATGAATTGCAATTAATTGCAAAGCCCCTCTTTGCCATGAAAATGAACTTAATCCCAAAAAAACATTTCCACTGCATTTCAGCCCTGCCACAAAAGGACCAGCTGACATCATGTCAGTGATTCTCTCGTTAACACAGGTGAGTGTTGACGAGGACAAGGTTGGAGATCACGGTCATGCTGATTGAGTTAGAATAACAGACTGGAAGCTTTAAAAGGAGGGTGGTGCTTGAAATCATTGTTCTTCCTCTGTTAGTTACCTGCAAGGAAACACGTGCCGTCATCATTGCTTTGCACAAAAAGGGCTTCACAGGCAAGGATATTGCTGCTAGTAAGATTGCACCTAAATCAACCATTTATCGGATCATTAAGAACTTCAAGGAGAGAGGTTCAATTGTTGTGAAGAAGGCTTCAGGGTGCCCAAGAAAGTCCAGCAAGCACCAGGACTGTCTCCTAAAATTGATTCAGCTGCGGGATCGGGGCACCACCAGTGCAGAGCTTGCTCAGGAATGGCAGCAGGCAGGTGTGAGTGCATCTGCAAGCACAGTGAGGCAAAGACTTTTGGAGGATGGCCTGGTGTCAAGAAGGGCAGTGAGGAAGCCACTTCTCTCCAGGAAAAACATCAGGGACAGACTGATATTCTGCAAAGGGTACAGGGATTGGACTGCTGAGGACTGGGGTAAAGTCATTTTCTCTGATGAATCCCCTTTCCAATTGTTTGGGGCATCCGGAAAAAAGCTTGTCCGGAGAAGACAAGGTTAGCGCAACCATCAGTCCTGTGTCATGCCAACAGTAAAGCATCCTGAGACCATTCATATATGGGGTTGCTTCTCAGCCAAGGGAGTGGGCTCACTCACAATTTTGCCTAAGAACACAGCCATGAATAAAGAATGGTACCAACACATCCTCCGAGAGCAACTTCTCCCAACCATCCAAGAACAGTTTGGTGACGAACAATGCCTTTTCCAGCATGATGGAGCACCTTGCCATAAGGCAGAAGTGATAACTAAGTGGCTCGGGGAACAACATTCGTAATTTTGGGTCCACGGCCAGGAAACTCCCCAGACCTTAATCCCATTGAGAACTTGTGGTCAATCCTCAAGAGGCGGGTGGACAAACAAAACCCCACAAATTCTGACAAACTCCAAGCATTGATTATGCAAGAATGGGCTGCCATCAGTCAGGATGTGGCCCAGAAGTTAATTGACAGCATGCCAGGGCGGATTGCAGAGGTCTTCAAAAAGAAGGGTCAACGCTGCAAATATTGACTCATTGCATAAACTTAATGTAATTGTCAATAACAGCCTTTGACACTTATGGAATGCTTGTAATTATACTTCAGTATACCATAGTAACATCTGACAAAAATATCTAAAAACACTGACGCAGCAAACTTTGTGAAGACCAATACTTGTGTCATTCTCAAAACTTTTGACCACGACATGACCTAAAGTATGTGGGCACCTGCTCGTCGAACATCTCATTCTAAAGTCAAAAACGCATGTTAAAAATGTTATAAACTGATTTGCATTTTAATGAGGGAAATAAGCATTTGACCCCTCTGCAAAACATTACTTAGTACTTGGTGGCAAAACCCTTGTTGGCAATCACAGAGGTCAGACGTTTCTTGTAGTTGGCCACCAGGTTTGCACACATCTCAGGAGGGATTTTGTCCCACTCCTCTTTGCAGATCTTCTCCAAGTCATTAAGGTTTCGAGGCTGACGTTTGGCAACTCGAACCTTCAGCTCCCTCCACAGATTTTCTATGGGATTAAGGTCTGGAGACTGGCTAGGCCACTCCAGGACCTTAATGTGCTTCTTCTTGAGCCACTCCTTTGTTGCCTTGGCCGTGTGTTTTGGGTCATTGTCATGCTGGAATACCCATCCATGACCCATTTTCAATGCCCTGGCTGAGGGAAGGAGGTTCTCACCCAAGATTTGACGGTACATGGCCCCGTCCATCGTCCCTTTGATGCGGTGAAGTTGTCCTGTCCCCTTAGCAGAAAAACACAACCAAGGCATAATGTTTCCACCTCCATAGGCAGCATTCCTCCTCCTCCAAATACGGTGAATTTAGTTGATGCCAAAGAGCTCCATTTTAGTCTCATCTGACTACAACACTTTCACCCAGTTCTCCTCTGAATCATTCAGATGTTCATTGGCAAACTTCAGACGGGCATGTATATGTGCTTTCTTGAGCAGGGGGACCTTGCGGGCGCTGCAGGATTTCAGTCCTTCATGGCGTAGTGTGTTACCAATTGTTTTCTTGGTGACTATGGTCCCAGCTGCCTTGAGATCATTGACAAGATCCTCCCGTGTAGTTCTGGGCTGATTCCTCACCGTTCCCATGATCATTGCAACTCCACGAGGTGAGATCTTGCATGGAGCCCCAGGCAGATTGACAGTTCTTTTGTGTTTCTTCCATTTGCGAATAATCGCACCAACTGTTGTCACCTTCTCACCAAGCTGCTTGGCGATGGTCTTGTAGCCCATTCCAGCCTTGTGTAGGTCTACAATCTTGTCCCTGACATCCTTGGAGAGCTATTTGGTCTTGGCCATGGTGGAGAGTTTGGAATCTGATTGATTGATTGCTTCTGTGGACAGGTGTCTTTTATACAGGTAACAAGCTGAGATTAGGAGCACTCCCTTTAAGAGTGTGCTCCTAATCTCAGCTCGTTACCTGTATAAAAGACACCTGGGAGCCAGAAATCTTCTTGATTGAGAGGGGGTCGAATACTTATTTCCCTCATTAAAATGCAAATCAATTTATAACATTTTTGACATGCGTTTTTCTGGATTTTTGTTGTTGTTATTCTGTCTCTCACTGTTCAAATAAACCTACCATTAAAATTATAGACTGATAATTTCTTTGTCAGTGGGCAAACGTACAAAATCAGCAGGGGATCAAATACTTTTTTCCCTCACTGTATGTACCACTATTTACCACCTGAGGAAGTGGGAACTCAAAACACAAAGGCATTAACTACAATTGTTGTTGAGTGGGTGGTGGACAGCAGTAAGGCGAGCGCCGTCTGGTAGGTAGCCAGGACTGCGGTAGATTGAACTGCATTGCTGGACCATATCGGAATTGTGAGTTCGTCTTTTTATGATTTTTTACAGTTTAAACACTTTTTTATGGCAGTTTAAACATTAAGAAATGTTTTACATTTGTCACATCCTTAGTCAGTGAACTATGCTTGCTCTCATCAGAATGCATCTCTCCCTTCTCTCCGTGTGCAAAGGGGGGAGCGGGAGTGAGAGCCATCAGTGAAATATGGGGCAGATACTTTCATTGCAGGAAGCAGGTTAGTGCACATTATTGTTGACAAAAGAATGGTTTTAGAACCCAAAAAAGCTGCAGGAATATTGTGTAGCCTAATCACCGAAATTACTGACATAAGTAAAATTGTTTAAGAGGGCAATGTCGGTGTCGATAATTTTCAGCTTATCATCCCAGCTCTAGTGAGTGTTGTTGTCTATCAAATTGTATAGGTTACCTTGCTCTCTCCACTCTTCTCTGGCAACGGCCCGACTCGCACTGGCATGCGCACATGACGTGCACACACAGGCGCACATTTGGATAGCTCTAACATCTTGAAAGTGGCTTAGAGTATTATTTCATGTTCAATTTTTTTTTTAATTGCCATGGTGGCAACAATTAAGCAGCGGCACAATATAACTAACACTGTAGTCATCTCCGTCACATTTTTTAAGACCTTTGAAAACAGAATGTAAGACATTTTAAGACTTAAGGCCTTTAAATCAGATAAATTAATGTAAGACTTAAGGACTCGCGGACACCCTGTGAATGGAATTAGTGACAGAAATGCTAAAACGTTGAGAGGGAAACTAAAACAATGCATGGATTGCTGTCATACCTTATCCATAGACTACTTACAGGGTAAGGAAACCAACATATCATTTTGTAATTTGGATGAACTATCCCTTTAAAAGAGCAGATTGACATTTATTAATCATGTTAATTGCACTGACTGACTGGCCTCTTATACAGATTCTCATTGTTTGACTGTATGCTTTGATGAAGGTCTACTGTGACCGAAAAGTTTCACATTAAATTACTGTGTGCAGAGACTCTTTTCTTAATGCTATCGAGGTTACCTTCTTTCCTCTTGACCCAGGCGACGTAGTGTCCGGAGGAGCTGGATCTGCCCTGGTGTGTCAGCACTCCCTGCAGGTCGTAGTAACCACTGTTGTTAGAGCCCAGGTCTGCAGGGAATAGACAGGCACACGCTTAGAAACATATTCCTTAAGGGAAGGGAAGCACAGCCGCGAGCTGCCCAGTGACACAAACCTACCAGAAGAGCTAAATACCTTCTACGGTCGCTTCGAGGCAAGCAACACTGAAGCATGCATGAGAGCATCAGCTGTTCCGGACGACTGTGTGATCACGCTCTCCGTAGCCGATGTGAGTAAGACCTTTACCAGGACGTGTACTCTGAGCACGCGCTGACAAACTGCAAGTGTCTTCACTGACATTTTCAACCTGTCCCTGATTGCGTCTGTAATACCAACATGTTTCAAGCAGACCACCGTAGTCACTGTGCCCAAGAACACTAAGGTAACCTGCCTAAATGACTACAGACCCATGGCACTCACGTCTGTAGCCATGAAGTGCTTTGAAAGGCTGGTCATGGCTCACATCAACACCATTATCCCAGAAACCCTAGACCCACTCCAATTTGCATACCGCCCCAACAGATCCACAGATCATGTAATCTCTATTGCACTTCACACTGCCCTTTCCCACCTGGACAAAAGGAACACCTACGTGAGAATGCTATTCATTGACTACAGCTCAGCGTTTAACACCATTGTGCCGTCAAAGCTCATCACTAAGTTAAGGACCCTGGGACTAAACAACTCCCTCTGCAACTGGATCCTGGACTTCCTGACGGGTCGCCCCCAGGTGGTAAAGATAGGTAACAACATCTGCCACGCTGATCCTCAACACGGGGGCCCCTCAGGGGTGCGTGCTCCGTCCCCTCCTGTACTCCCTGTTCACCCATGACTGCATGGCCAGGCACGACTCCAACACCATCATTAACTTTGCTGACGACACAACAGTGGTAGGCCTGATCACCAACAATGATGAGACAGCCTATAGGGAGGAGGTCAGAGACCTGGCCGTGTGGTGCCAGGATAACAACCTCTCCCTCAACGTGATCAAGACAAAGGAGATTATTGTGGACTACAGGAAAAGGAGGACCGAGCACGCACCCATTCTCATCTACAGGGCTGTAGTGGAGCAGGTTGAGAGCTTCAAGTTCCTTGGTGTCCACATCACCAACAAACTATCATGGTCCAACACACCAAGACAGTCGTGAAGAGGGCACGACAAAGCCTATTCCCCCTCAGGAGACTGAAAAGATTTGTCATGGGTCCTCAGATCTTCAAAAAGTTTTACAGCTGCACCATCGAGAGCATCCTGACTGGTTGCATCACTGCCTGGTATGGCAACTGCTCTGCCTTCGACCGCAAGGCACTACAGAGGGTAGTGCGTATGGCCCAGTACATCACTGGGGCCTCTATACCAGGCAGTGTCAGAGGAAGGCCCTAAGAATTGTCAAAGACTCCAGCCACCCTAGTCATAGACTGTTCTCTCTGCTACCGCACGGCAAGCAGTACCAGAGCGCCAAGTCTAGGTCCAAAAGGCTTCTTAACAGCTTCTACCCCCAAGCCATAAGACTCCTGAACAGCTAATCAAATGGCTACCCGGACTATACGCTGCTGCTACTCTCTGTTTATTATCTATGCATAGTCACTTTAACTCTACCTACATGTACATATTACCTCGACTAACCTGTGCCCCCGCACATTGACATGTACCGGTACCCCCTGTATACAGCCTCGCTACTGTTATTTTACTGCTGCTCTTTAATTATTTGTTGTTTCTTTATTTTTATTTTGTAAATGTTTTTACTTAACACTTATTTTTCTTAAAACTGCATTGTTGGTTAAGGGCTTGTAAGTAAGCATTTCACTGTAAGGTCTACACCTGTTGTATTCGGCGCATGTGACAAATCAAATTTGATTTGAAGTTACAGTGTGTACCAACCTATCCCTTACACGTGTGTGTGAATGACTGACTGATGCTTTATTTGTAGAGGCAGGCCACAAATCCATATGATGTAAAGTAACCAACCATCATCGAATGAAAAGGGCTCATATTTCACTTCTTTCGGCTTGTCTTCCACTTTCTTCTCCACCTGTTTGATGCACAAAAGGAATTATATAAGCTACACGTATGTTCGTTCACACTGAGTTACTTTGTTTGGTCAGGGAACAACACTGAGAAATATATTTATTGGAGGTTTAGGTTTATTTTGAAGAGTATACATTTGCAGTTCAAAGCTGAATTGCAAGAGACAAAGTAGACAAGTCAATAAATTATTTTATATTTCTACCTTCTGCGTCTGTTTCTCCAGGTTCTTGTCCTCAATCTCCTTGAACTTTGACCTAACGGCCACCATCTTCTCCTGCAGAGCTGAGGTACACAGCTCATACACATCCAGCATCAGCGGGAACTTGACATCCTGGAACATGAAATCAATGGGAAAAAAGCATCAGGACAATATTCTTTCTTCCACTTGCAACAGTATTCTGATGATAATCCCATCCATTAGGAGGACATTCCTAAAACATCAGAAGACATACCTTTAAGACTTTGGCATTGACAGACTCCTTCTCTTTGTAGAAAAATCTAACCATCTGAATGGTTAGGTAGGCAGGGAGGCGGCTGACTTTAGACTAGACGAAGAAAGGGAGACAAAGTGAACCAACCAACTAAAAGGACATAACAATAAAACAAATTTCACACCATCTCAGTGGTTTATGAAATTCTTAGGGGCCCATGCCACACTTACAGATTTTATGTACATGGCATTTCTTTGCAAAGATGGAGATAGCTTGGTGATTTCTTCCTGCAGTCTCTGAATAGAAAGAAACAGAGACATGATGGGATTAGATCAGTGTTGCCATGGTGACAGACCCCCTTCGAGACATTATGGTGTGTGTGCCCGCGCATCTGTGTGTGTCTTCCTGTGCATGTGTGTGTGAGTCTGTGTGATCCTGTGCATATTCCTGCGTGTGTGATTGTGAATGTCTGTGAATGTGTGTTGCTTGGTACTACTCACCAGCCTGAGGCCGGTGGCCAGGTACTTGACCTCCTGGTTGATGAAACAGCTGAGCTGGAGCTGGCTCTCTTTACCTTTGGCTGGCTCCTCGTCCTCAGACTCTGTACATTTCATACTGTGGAGAAGGTTAAGGAAGGAACTGAGAGAGAGATAAGAGACGTATTCTTGGGAGGAGAGAGCAAAGGTATGTGGAGGCCATACTCCATTCCCTAATAGATCATATACTCATGTTCAGACTGCAAGGATACGTGGTTTCGTACTCCACTCCAAAATACTGGTCAATGAAGTTCTTCTTGTCAGCTTCACTCTCAGTCTGAAGAAGAAGAAGACTTTCACCTCTATAACGACCTTGATAGACTTTCACCTCTATAACGACCTTGACAGCTTACATACTTGCTTATACACATACCTCCATGGGAGTTTCTGAGTCTTGTGCCTCCAACTTCTGCTGAAGGACCCTCATCATCTGCAACCAGCACTCGTTGGCATCCTAGAGAGGGGCAGAAATTGACAAATGAAGCCCATTTCTACTCTTCAGACCACTTTCAGTATAAACAAAAACTACTACTTAAAATTGAGCAATCAATGCGGTTCATTGGAGTATAGGATGTGCAGTACCAAGCACGGATAGCAAAGCGGAATCTTCTGACGGTGAGTGAGTGACTGGTGCCAGCCAGGGGCCCTGGTCTCACCTGCTGGAGGTACTGTCCCTGGTCTCCCTTCTCAGCGAACTGGGGGAAGGCCATGTGCAGAAACTGCAGCAGGATGATGGGGGGTATGCTGGAGGAAGTCTTGTCCATGGTCTCGTAGAGGTCACGGAGGGCTGAAGAAGGGGAATACAATGATCATTTAGCAGACGCCTCTTTTATCCAAAGCAGTTCATAGTATGTGGCCCACAATGCTGGTGTAGCCAGCACCATGCCCTGACTCACAGAGTCATACTATTACCATCTACACTAGCAGATAACAAAAGGCAGTGGCAGCATAATATGAAAACAACATACAGACAGACAGAAAGGGAAATGCCAGACCTGCTGTGATGTACTGTGATGGTGCATTGGCCCCTGAGGACCGCAGAGCACCTGCATACCTGTAGAGGGAGACAGAGGGTTAATAAGTAAGAGTAAAGCCAGCGAAACACGGACAGGCAGATATTTTCATAGCAGGATTCAACGTAACACATAGGCTATTACTGATGACCAAAGAATGGTTTATGAACAAAAAAGATTTGCAGGAACGTTGTGTAACAAAATTACTGACCATCGGTAAGAAGACCATCGGTAAGAAGGCAAAAGGCAGTGAGAATGCTATTCATTGACTACAGCAGTGAGAATGCTATTCATTGACTACAGCTCAGCATTCAACACCATAGTGCCCTCTAAGCTCATCACTAAGCTAAGGATCCTGGGACTAAACACCTCCCTCTGCAACTGGATCCTGGACTTCCTGACGGGCCGCCCCCAGGTGGTAAGGGTAGGTAACAACACATCTGCCACACTGATCCTCAACACGGGGGCCCCTCAGGGGTGCGTGCTCAGTCCCCTCCTGTACTCTCTGTTCACCCATGACTGCATGGCCAGGCACGACTCCAACACCATCATTAAGTTTGCCGACGACACAACAGTGGTAGGCCTGATCACCGACAACGATGAGACAGCCTATAGGGAGGAGGTCAGAGATCTGGCCGTGTGGTGCCAGGACAACAACCTCTCCCTCAACGTGACCAAGACAAAGGAGATGATTGTGGACTACAGGAAAAAAAAGAGGACTGAGCACGCCCCCATTCTCATCGACGGGGCTGTAGTGGAACAGGTTGAGAGCTTCAAGTTCCTTGGTGTCCACATCACCAACGAACTATCATGGTCCAAACACACCAAGACAGTCGTGAAGAGGGCACGACAAAGCCTATTCCCCCTCAGGAGACTAAAAAGATTTGGCATGGGTCCTCAGATCCTCAAAAAATTCTACAGCTGCACCATCGAGAGCATCCTGACTGGTTGCATCACCGCCTGGTATGGCAACTGCTTGGCCTCTGACCGCAAGGCACTACAGAGGGTAGTGCGTACGGCCCAGTACATCACTGGGGCAAAGCTCCCTGCCATCCAGGACCTCTATACCAGGCGGTGTCAGAGGAAGGCCCTCAAAATTGTCAAAGACTCCAGCCACCCTAGTCATAGACTGTTCTCTCTGCTGCCGCACGGCAAGCGGTACCGGAGTGCCAAGTCTAGGTCCAAAAGACTTCTCAACAGCTTCTACCCCCAAGCCATAAGACTCCTGAACAGCTAATCATGGCTACCCGGACTATTTGCACTGCCCCCCCACCCCATCCTTTTTACGCTGCTGCTACTCTGTTAAGTATTTATGCATAGTCACTTTAACTCTACCCACATGTACATATTACCTCAACTACCTCAACTAGCCGGTGCCCCCGCACATTGACTCTGCAACGGTAGCCCCCTGTATATATAGCCTCCCTACTGTCACTTTATTTTACTTCTGCTCTTTTTTTCTCAACACTTTTTTTGTTGTTGTTTTATTCTTACTTTTTTTGTTTAAAATAAATGCACTGTTGGTTAAGGGCTGTAAGTAAGCATTTCACTGTAATGTCTGCACCTGTTGTATTCGGCGCATGTGACCAATAAAATTTGATTTGATTTGATTTGAAGGCAATGTTGTTGTCTGTAATTTTTGGTTTATCGTCCCAACTCTAATGTAGCCTGTGTGATCGAATAATCAGTTGTATCATTGAGTAGATATCAAGTGAATAAGAAACCCATTTTATCATCAACACTATAGATCCGACAGACGTTGCTTGCATCATCACAGATTGGAGTTAATGCAATTTCAAGGGCCCACCTTCTGAGGGCTCCTTTGAGCTCTGGCACGGAGCGAAGACACTGCACTGTAGCGTTCATATAGCAGGTGTTGCCCAGGTTGGTCAGTCCGCAAGGCATCTCCATCTACACATCGGATCAGACAACAAGCAAAATTGGGTTAGTTTCTCTATGACTGCCTGCGCTGGCAAACCCAGCCAGCATCGTTTACGTTTAAACAAAAACACTTCCAACGAGTAAGTCATGCATTGTACAATCTCAATTTCGATCAGGGCTAGTAGAAATGACAGACATCTGTGTCCGTTCATAGCACTACTGTGCAAGGCATAGCCTGAACATATCATACAGTTCCAGACCAACAGAGAGTAGACTAGACACTGGCCCTGAGAGCAAGCTAGAAAACAGTCCTCGACATAGCTATTAAAAGCCAGCTAGTAAACATTAACTCACGGCTGAGGCCAGCTGGTCTTCTGTCATGTCCTCTACAAACATGGGCCTGACTGCAGGCTCCTCGGGCAGGGCCTCTGCTGAGCCCATCATCAACAGAGTCATCCCCTGTGGGGGGGGGGGGGGAGGAGGAAAAGTATCTCATGTCACATTGCGTACCATAGGATATCTGGCGATGGTAATCAATGAAGAAAATAAAATCGACCGCCCTGCAATATTAGGTTAGATAACATGCATCATAACACCACCCCAAAACAGGTCCACTAAAATGACAATGAAATCAGCCAATATATCATAGCCTACTTTGCACAATACTGAAATAGATAGTAGGGCCGGGACGACACCTGTATCACGATACTCGATAGTCTTGTGGCAAGGAAACAAAACACAAAGCAGATTTGACTTCTTTAGGAAAATAGCCCTAATGTTGGAAACAAACATCATTATGTTGTCATCCAGTGTCACATGTATTTATTTTTCAAGCTATAGCACACAATATTTTACATACAGCAGGTTTTTAAAGGACCAAATAGTTATGACTGCTTCGTGTTTTCATTATTGCCATGGAAAAAATATTGCGATACTGGTATCGTCATAGCCATTACAGATAGGAAATAATCTGGAAAAATCTGTTGATGTGCCCTTTAGCAAGGCACACTGCCCTATCCCATTTGGACAAGAGGAATACCTATGTAATAATGCTGTTCAATGACTACAGCTCAGCCTTCAACACCATAGTACCCTCCAAGCTCATCATTAAGCTTGGGGCCCTGGGTCTGAACTAATGATGGGAAGTTCGGCTCTTTTCTGAGAGCCGGCTCTTTTGACTCGGCTCCCAAAGAAGAGCCGGCTCTTTCGACTCCCGAACGGCTCTTTATTTAGGATCTTTTGTAGCCTATATTTTACCTTAACTTTGAAAAAAAATCATGGTTTATGTGTTGAAAACCCTTTTGCTTTCAGTGTTTTTATGAGAGACCTTATAATGCCTAATTCTGTGCATTTATTCTGTGACAAAACCACTCTTACATTTGTTTATTTCAATTAAACTTTTTTATTGCACAAATTAACAATAAACTTCAAACAAATCCACAGAACAGAATCAAAACCAGAACCAAACTCCAGCAAACAGCATTAGTCCTCAGGGCAGGTTGGCATTCAGGAAGATCAGATGCCTCAGCTTGGATGGGCTGATAGGCCTGATACGATTTCGCCTCTCCGTGAGTATCTGCCCTGTTTTGGAGAAGATTCTCTCAGAAGGAACTGATGTGGCAACAATACATAGTCTCCCCTCCATCACCTTCACCAGGAGTGGAAAGACTGAGGCCTTGGCCTGCCACCAGCTCAGTGGGTCTTCTGCTCTCTGGATGAGGGGCTCCTCAAGGTAGCTCCTCACCTCCATTATAGCATCAGCTGTCGGATTTCTCCTTGAAGCATCTCCTGTAGCTCTGTCATCAAAAAGCCTCCAAACAGCAGAGGTTTGCTGCTCCTCCTCCACTTGGCCCTGTAATGGTGGAGCTGGCTGGCTGCTGGGGGTGCATTTTGCTGCTGCTGCTGCACTAATCCTCTGAAGAGCTTCATCAACAGCTCTACGATCACTGAAGGCAAGTTTTTTAAACCTTGGATCCAATAAGGTAGTTTCTGAAAGGACAGTGTTGTACTCCATCCGCAGAAATTTGCGGTCCATGGCTGAACAAAGAGCTGCAACTAATTCCTTCACTTTCTGCACAGTTACTGTCCATTGGTTCTCGGCTGTCACCAGCTGCAGACCTTTGCAAAGCAGGAGCATTTTCGAGGCTGTGACATAGCTGAAGGAGAGAAAACAGCAACTTTTAGAATTTAGTTTTTTAAAAGTATGTGGCATATTATACGTGATGCATTATACTGTATGTGTTGTGTTTGCAATGTATAATAGTGACTGAATAGTAGTAGAGAAAACAATGCTTCAATGGTTCTAGGTACCTGTCTGCACTTATCTCCACAGTCACCTCCTGGAATGGTTGCAGGACGGCGCAGACCTCTTTCACCAGCTCCCATTCCTCTTGGCTTAATGGCTCAATAGATGCGTTGATGAGGGCCAGGGTGGAGATGATGGCATCTTTTATTTCAAGCATTCGTTTCAACATATCAAATGTTGAGTTCCACCTGGTGGCACACTCTTGTTTGGGCCTCAGTTCAGGAATCCCCATTTGGCGCTGTGTGGACTTTAGCTTCTGTGCTGCTACTGTGCTTTTGTGGAAAAACTCCACAACAGCCTTCACCTTATCCACGGTTGTTTTGATCACCTTCAGAGCATCTCTAACCACCAGGTTTAGTGTATGCGCCAGACATGGGTGATGGGTCCACTTCAAAACTTTTATGGCTTTGGTGATGTTTGCAGCATTATCACTCACACAGCACACCACTTTGTCCTCTACTTGCCACTCTTTTGCCACTCTTAGTAGCTCCACTGCCAAGTTTTCTGCAGTGTGTCTGTCGGTGAACTCGAAGCAGTCCAGAAGGCAAGATGTCATCTTGTAATCTTCAATAAAGTGGCAAGTGACAGACATGAAAGAGCAGGTTGTTCTGGAGGTCCAGCAGTCAGTTGTCAGGCAAACTGATGGAGCTTTTGTCACCCTTTCTTGCCATAATGCACGTTCTGTGTCATATAGTTTTGGGATCATTGTTTGGGAAAGTGTTTTTCTACTGGGTAGAGTGTATGTGGGATTTAGGGCTTTGACAAAGTTTTTCATTCCTTTGTCCTCCACAATGGAAAAGGGTTGAAAATCAGAAGCTACCATTTTAGCCAACTCATCATCAATACTGTGCTGTTTGGCTGGGGTCATCAGTTTAGGTAAAAACTGACTTATTTTGCTTTGAGTTGCAGTAGGAGAGGTTATACTTGCACGCATGGGGATGGCAGTAGACGTTACAGCAGCTGTTGTTCTGGTATGAGACACACCAGGATCAGTAGATGGTGAGCTGGCTTGCCCTCTCTCCTCTAACTGCACTGTAGGATGGACAGTTCTTGTATGTCTATGCAGGTTTGTGGTGGAACCTGCTCTTATAGTGACCTTCGTTTTGCAGTGAAGGCACTCTGCTTTCTTGTTCCCAATATCTTTAAACTGCAGCCAGATGCTGCTTCGCTTTCTAGTGTCACTCATAGTTAAACGACACGACAATGCAAGACGCACACACGCTCCTCAGTCCGCTCTGTCTCTCTCTTCACTTGCAGTGGAGTCAAGTGGTGTGTCTGCCCCGCCCCCTCTCTGTTTACACATCCTTAATTCTCACGTGAATGCCGCATGCTGGTCGCCATGCTGGCCAATCATAACAGACCTCTGTGAAAGTGAAACCTAAGCAGCGAATGGGCAAAAAACTGGGAGCCGGCTCTCACTCGATGCGAGCCGGCTCTTCTGATTCACTACAAAGAGCCGGCTCTCAGAGCCGATGCTTGTGCGCATGACCCATCACTAGTCTGAACCCAGCTCTGTACAACTGGGTCCTGGACTTCCTGACGGGCCTCCCCCAGGTGGTGAAGGTAGGCAACAACACCTCCACTACGCTGATCCTCAACACAGGGGCCCCACAAGGGTGGGTGCTCAGCCTCCTCCTGTACTCCCAACAAAACGAAGGAGCTGATCATGGACTTCAGGAGACAGCAGAGAGAGCACGCCCCCATCCACATCGACGAGGCCACAGTGGAGAAGCTGAAAAGTTTCAAGTTCCTCGGCGTACACGTCACTGACAATCTGAAATGGTCCACACAGACAGTGTGGTGAAGAAGGCGCAAAAGCGCCTTTTCAACCTCAGCAGGTTGAAGAAATTCGACTTGGCCCCTAAGACCCTTACAAACTTTTACAGATGCACCATTGAGAGCATCCTGTCGGGCTGTATCACCACCTGGTACAGCAACTGCACCGTCCGCAACCGCAGGGCTCTCCAGAGGGTGGTGCGGTCTGCCCAACTGGCCAAGAAGATCATCAAGGACCTCTGCCACCCGAGCCACGGCCTGTTCACCCCGCTACCATCCAGAAGGCGAGGTCAGTACAGGTGCATCAAAGCTGGGACCTATTGCAAGGCCATCAGACTGTTAAATAGTCACCACTAGCCAACCTCCGCCCAGTATCCTGCCCTGAACTTTAGTCTCTGTCACTAGCCGGCTACTCAACCCTGCACCCTAGAGGCTGCTGACCTATGTACATAGACATGGAACACTGGTCACTTCAATAATGGAACACCCTAGAGGCTGCTGACCTATGTACATAGACATGGAACACTGGTCACTTCAATAATGGAACACCCTAGAGGCTGCTGACCTATGTACATAGACATGGAACACTGGTCACTTTAATAATGTTTACATACCGTTTTCCCCACTTCATATGTATATACTGTACTATTGTGAGGGGCCTATCCTATTTAACTATTGCTGTACATATACTATTCTATCCTACGTATTCTTCAGATATACTATATAATCTATCCATATACCGTCCATAATGTCTATACATCCCATCAAAGATGTGACGTGTCCATTATGGCATCCGAAGCATATTTACAGTATTGTAAAAATATATATATTTTTATAAACACTGCATTATAAGACTTAACTTTCCCCTATTTATCAGCTTATAAGAACATTCATTATGAATAATGGGAATTTAGGGCGCTATAGAGCTCAGAAGTACCAAAGAATATGCAAAAATGCGCCAAAGAAAACTATCAAAATCTAATAAACTCCTCTGGCATAATTGTGAGGGTATCTGTATTGATAAATCAAAAATAATGGTGAGGATCCTACACTTTATTACATTTTTATGCTTGAAAAACGTTTGTCCCTACATTGGGATTTCTTTCAATGTTATTCAGTATAACAGACACTCATGAGCCATTTCAGACCATAATGCTTTGCCATTGCCACATGACAGGATATTGCATCGGAAAGAAGATTCAGAAGGACCCCCACACAGTGCAGAAAGGTCAGTAAGTCTCTCCTAAAATGTTGATAATTTCACCTTTTCGGTCACTGGTGGACTATGATATATAATCCTGTGTCATACTGTACAATGCTTAAAAAAACATATATAATGTTGTTATATTTTAAAATGGCATATTTGATGTGAAAGATAACATTAAAAACCTGTAGATCAAGGTAATAGTTTTTTCATAGGTGGCCAAGCCATTGCCTGTAGAATAAATTCAAACTGTTTTTTTGTCATACAGATTAACGATTATGTAATTCTGTATAACTGTTACACCACAACGTTATTCATTACTCCGCATGACATAGTTTTTCTATTCTTAAGCTTTTAGGGAATGTAGTGTATAAGTGTATGTTTTATTAATAATATATCTATGTATTTGTGTGTGTTAAGGTATATTTTGTCTATTTATTACATTGTGAAAAACAAAAGTAATGACAACATGGTCATTATTATTTGGTTTTTGTGAAGTGACCTATTCAAGTCATAAGCACTTAATTATTATCATAATGTTTTATTCATGCTCTATCAGAACAGTTTTGATGTGGAGGAAATATCTGTCCTTATAGATGCCTCTATCCAACAAAGAGAGGGCTGCACGTTCAGGGCCCGGAAGAACTCAGATTCTCAAGTTAGGGAAGAGTGGCTTCTGAGCAGGAAAGCAAGGTATTATAGTGGTCATGCAGTTAAGTGACTCAGAGGGAAACATTTAGGCAGATGCATGCTGTGATGAACCTCACTAGTGTCCATGGATGGTGAAAATCTTGAGGAGCACCCTGAGCAACAAGCTCTTACAGTGAGGTAGAACTAGCTCTGCCTGAAGTGAACACCACATGGCAATAGTGGAAAAGAGAGAAGACCAGCAATGAAGAAAAGACGTTCACAAACTTTGTGGAAAAAACAAAGACAGGAACATGGCAGGATCTGAACAGAATCCTGAATCAAAAACTCAACCTGCACGCCAAGCACCATTTCATCTGGCTTCATCAAGTTGAGAAGTGCCAAAATCTTAAGGAAATCATCGGTGACAATGAGGTAGTTGTTCATATGCCTTTTCTCCATTTACCTTACAATAAATACATCTGATTGCCAGTGTCTCTCATTTTATATTTAGTATGTAATAAGTACATCTTTGTTGCTGAAACAGTCTTTAAGGATAATCCAATGTGGAATCTCAGTATGTCATTCGGTATAACGATGCCAGTCAGACGGTGTAAGGCAGGTTTTTCACGTCATATTACATAATTTAGTTTTGTCAAACTGAGGATACAATAATCTCTACCCCTTTACAAAAAAACATTTATCCTTTTGAGCATGACATTTTGGATGCTAAAATCAACAAATGAGCTCACGTTAGGAGAAAATACAAAATGTATATTAATAATTATGATGCAATTTTGATTTTCAAAGTAGTACATGTTTGTTGAGATAAAAAAAATACTATCTATAAACAGCTGAATGATAATACTGGTAAATAATCAAATAATTAGAAAATCCATTATTGTTACACTGAAGGACATTATTCATGCAAGAAATAATATGATGCAAAATTAAAATGCATGGATTTAATTCTCGGTGACTAAAAATGGTGTATGTATATATATTTCAACAACACTAATGAATGTACAAAGAACTTTAATTAACATTTAACACATTTATTTTTTCCCATTTTGAAAGCCTTATTCGTCATTGACCCATCTGACATTGCTCGTCCTAATATTTCTTAATTCCAGCCTTTTACTTTGTAGATGGTGTGTATTGTTTGATATTACTACACTGTTGGAGCTAGGAACACAAGCATTTCTCTACACCCGCAATAACATCTGCTAAATACGTGTATGCGACCAATAAAATGTGATTTGCTCCAGGGGCGCCATACTATTATGGCTGACCCTGTAAAACAACACATTTCACTGCACCTATCCAGTGTATGTGACAAAACTTTTTTTAATGATTAAATATTTAATAACATGAAAACTCTTAGACTATACTTACATTCTTCAATTTGATGTTTCCCCAGTCATCATCCTAAAAATATATACAAATGATTATTATCTTTGGAAATAATTCATGTATTGATTACCTGTGGTCCAACTGATGACATTCATTAATTGTAAACTAAAACGTGACAGCAACTTTACCTTGAGTGTGCCTCCCTTGACCATAACCTTCTGTCTCTCTGGTTGTACCCCTGTCAAGGCAAAGAGCTGAGCCTTGAAGACCATGGGAGGTTCTTCTGTGTTCAGCTCTATGGCATCAAACTTCTCCTTTCCCCATTTCACATTCACTGAGGAAATAAAAGCGAAACAAAAACACAGGTATCTGATAATACCAAGTCTTGTCAAGTCATATTTTACAGTGATAACCTATGTAATGCAGAGAATGGTTGAAATAGGAGTCGAATGTTTTGGTTATGTTAGAGTCTTGATCACCTGCTAAATAGACATGTCACCATCACCTTATATGCTAACGTTAGCTAGCTAGCTAGATTTTAGGGATAATGAAGGCTGGCAAGCTTCCTACTTGTGATGTGTACAGGTAACTACCCTTTCAGTTACCCTGTTTTAACATTAAGTACATCCATATTGTTAACGTTAGTTGGCCAGAAGCAAGTGAACAACTGCGGCTAACGTTACTGTGCTGATTAGCAAGATAGCATAAAAAAGATAGCATGCTCATCTTACTAAGTAAAATAACTGTCTTGCTAACTAGTTACCTGGCTAACAAAATAATCACACAAAAAGTCAGACATTTAGCGGTAACCAATTGGCTAACGTTAGAATAGTACTTACTTACCATGTTTATTTGTTCCAGATGTAACTTAACTAATGTTGCAGCAGAGTTTTCATAGCTATATATAGACTGTGTGACAGTTCATATCTGGCTGGCTTAGCAGTTAGCAGTCTAACGTAGTTAGCTAAATATTGACGTGAGTGCAGGAAGTTAGTAAACATAACATACAGCTAAGTACGTTAGTTAGCAAGCTACCGTTTACTAAATTAGTTCGTTAGTTATTTAGGTAGGTAGTTATGTCCACAAAACCAACACTGATCTGGGTAAGCTAGTTAACGTTAGCTTGTAACTAGTTGGTTAGTTTTTCATGTTGTATTTTGTTTTAAATCAGAGAGAACACTCGCGAATCGTTTATTTTTTGTCGGGCAGCTCGCTAGTTGGTGACTGATTTACTTTATGGCCTATGATGGCTAACTAGCTAAAGTGTTCGTTAGCTAGCGTTCCAATAGTGATCACTGAAACACGTGTATAAATATATTCAAGGGAAGTGGTCACGTTATAGCGTTAACTTACCTGAAAACACAGGCATATTTTAGGCAGTTTTGTTTGTTAATCTCCAATTCCAGTCGCCGGGGCGCGAATTCGCTGTCTGGTGCAGTTGGCTACGAAAGGTTTCTGACTAGCTAGCTTGCTAGCTACACCGTCACCGAACTTCATTTAAACAGCTCGCACAATGACACTGCAACTGCATGCACGCTGAAAAATTGTCGATGCGCTCTGCCTGCAGCTATCCAGCCTGGAAAGCCCCACTCAAATGCATTTACAAAAGTTTTTTTCTAATCTCATGAAGTTCCCACATCAAATACAGCCAGTTTAATTGTACAAAATCCTCAATAAAAATAATTTAACTGCATCTGTCTCCAGCAAGGTTGACTCTCCTGATGAAACTCATGATCAGTAGAAAACTGTAAAAGGAGCAAATCACTAGCCTAAATCTACCCACTTGTTAAATTCCAAGCCTCTGCCTCCAACCCTGGGAAACTAGTTTCCACCTCCTTCCCCTACGCGGACGACTTGGTCAACCACTTTGAAAAAAAGGTTGGCGACATCCGCCCCGCATTCACTCAGCCTACTGAGTCCACTGGTCCAAATCACACAGAACTACCCTACGTCTTGACCTCTTTCTCCAGATGAAATCCTGCGATTAGTGATGTCCAGCCAACCGACAACCTGCCCACTCGACCCCATCCCCTCTTCCTTTCTCCATCTCTGGAGACTCTCCCATTCCTCACTTCCCTCATCCCTGACCACTGGCTGCGTCCCCTCTGACTTCAAGAAATCCCTGACTCCTCCAATGTCAAAAACTACAGACCGGTATCCCTTCTTTCTTTTCTTTCCAAAACACTTGAGCATGCCGTCTCTGACCAATTATTTTATTATCGCTCTCAGAACAAACCTCTTGACCCTAACCAGTAAAGCTTCAAGACGGGTCAATCAACTGAGACTGCTCTCCTCTGTGTCACGGAAGCTCTCCACTCTGCCAAAGCTGACTCGCTCTCCTCTGTTCTCATCCTCCTAGATCTATCCTCTGCCTTCAACACTGAACCATCAGATCCTCCTCTCCACCCTCTCAGGGCTGGGCGTCTCAGGCTCTGCACACTCCTGGATTGCATCCTACCTGGCAGGTCGCTCCTACCTGGTGGCGTGGAGGGGATCGGTGTCTGCACCACATGCTCTCACCACTGGTGTCGGTTCTAGGCCCTCTCCTCTTTTTTCTATACGCCAAATCACTCGGCTCTGTCATATCTTCTCATGGTCTCTCCTGTCATTGCTATGCGGATGACAACTACTTTTCTCATTCCCCCTTCTGACAACCAGGTGGCGACACGCATCTGCGTGCCTGGCAGATATCTCAGCTTGGATGTTGTTCCACCACCTCAAGCTCACCAAGACAGAGCTGCTCTTCCTCCGGAGAAGGTCTGCACGCTCAAAGACCTCTCCATCACAGTTGACAACTCCACAGTATCCCCCTCCCAGAGTGCAAAGAACCTTGTCGTTTTCTGCAAACATCAAAACAGTGACTCGCTCCTGCAGGAGAGAGTACCAACTTTCCTCACACAGGAAGCGGCGTATGTCCTAATCCAGGCACATGTAATATCCCGTCTGGACTACTGCAACTGTTGGCTGGGCTCCCAGCCATCAAACCCCTGTAACTTATCCTGAACGCCGCAGCCCGTCTGGTGTTCAACCTTCCCAAGTTCTCCCAAGTCATCCCGCTTCTCCATACACTCCACTGGCTTCCAGTCGAAAAGACCATACATCCACTAAAAGACCATGGTGCTTGCCTAAGGAGCAGCAAGAGGAACTGCCCCTCCCTACCTTCAGGCTATAACTATGCTCAAACCCTACATCCCAACCAGGGAACTCCATTCTGCCACCTCTGGTCTCTTGGCCATCCCACCCCTACGGGAGGTCAGCTCCCACTCAGCCCACTCAAAGCTCTTCTCCGTCCTGGCACCCCAATGGTGGAACCAGCTTCTGCCTGATGTTAGGACAGCAGAGTTCCTGCCCATCTTCCCGAAAACGTCTGAAACCCTACCTCTTCAAAGAGTATCTTAAATAAGACATCGGCCTTATTCCCCCCCACCCTCCCCAAAAAAACACCTTGCCCTTGTCTTTTCTTACTAGCATTGACTTCGCTGATAACTAGTCTCCCGAGCGGAGCAGTGGTCTAAGGCACTGTATTGCAGTGCTAGCTGTGCCACTAGCTGTGCCACTCCTGGTTCGAATCCAGGCTCTGTCGTAGCCGGCCGTGACCGGGAGACCCATGGGGCGGCGCACAATTGGCCCAGCGTCGTCCAGGATAGGGGAGGGAATGGCCGGCAGGGATGTAGCTCAGTTGGTTGAGCATGGCGTTTGCAACGCCAGGGTTGTGGGTTCAATTCCCACGGGGGGCCAGTAAAAAATATAAAAATATATATAAAAAAAGAATGATGTATGGACTCACTAACTGTAAGTCGCTCTGGATAAGAGCGTCTGCTAAATGACTAAAAAGAAAAAAAAACTACTTTGAGTAAAAATGTACTTACTAAGACTGTGATATTTGGTTGTCTCACCTAGCTATCTTAAGATGAAAGCACTAAGTCGCTCTGGATAAGAGCGTCTACTAAATGACCAAAATGTAAAAGCAGCACATCAGTGGTTCAAAATCTTCTTTACCTTGTGCTTTGTCATTTTCTTCCTGCCAATCAACAGTGATGCTCATCCGTCACACACCTCTTCTCTGTTCCCAGTTCTGTGATTGTTGAATTACTAGCTACAATCACAGCCCTGTGATTGGTAAATAACTTTGTTAGCCACAAGTCTATATGCAGTTGCTCAGAATAAAGAACTGTATATCAAAATCACTCTCATAGCCTACATACATAACAAAAGAGAAGTCTGTAGATTATAGATAAAGATATGTTTATTGACACATATCCATCAGTGCGGCCTCCAATGCAATTAAACATGCGATTCATCCAAGACAAAATAGAGTAGGTCATAGTTCCAGTGCTTTCTCCCCCTCTTTTTACTGAACAAAAATGTAAAAAACATTTTGAATTAGCGGTATTCATGATCCTTATTTGTTTTCAAATTATGTACACAGTGGGATTTGCGCGAATGGGACGTTAACATAATTTATGAATATAATTATAACTACATTTTTAACAAGCCTTCGTCAAGGTACACCATCCAGAAACTGTTGTGAGATAAGATACTGGACTCTGGGAACTTTGTGTTGACACATTACACTATTGCAATGAGTCTATAAAGAGGTATTCGATATACTCAAACCAGAAAGGGAACGTTCTGATAAAACCACAATGTAGCAGATAAAAAATAAAATAATGGAAGAGTTTGGATTTGTCTTGTTTTTGGAGATAAACACAAACAGATATGGCAATAAAATCGTTATCCAAACGTTAAGGCACTAGGTGGGCCAAATGCTACACCTGGTTAAGTCTTCTACAAATAATTTACAATTCAAACAGTGCAGTTTTACATTTGTTAACTTAATGTTTTCCTTTTGAACCATTTATCTATGAGTCAAGGTAAGGCAATACATAAAAAAAATACAATATTACAGAAAACAATGTACCCAATGAAAAAACACAGAACGAAAAAGAAAATACTTTTTAGGTCTCCTATCCGCCATTAAAATGGAATTTCCTTATGACTTGGAGCAATTACAATAATTAATAAAAAATACAAATAACAATGCATAGATTTAAATTATCTTGCACGCTCCTCACTCAATACTCAAAAACATCTAATACTGAGTTCCCAATACATACTCTGTCCCAACTGACCCCTGATATAGTTGGAGTGCAGAGTAATAAGGGATTGAAGCAAAGGCCACCAGAGTCCATCAGTCAAAGGCATTAAAGTCAATTTAGATGGAAACATAGTTACTGATAGAGTATCTGTTTTCTCAGATGGGAAGAAAAAACAACCACATTTCCGTATCCCCAAGATGTACCCATTCACCACAGAGTTAAACCAATCCCTGTACTACAGTACCTCCATGTTGACCATGTTTACATGCAAGTCCCAGCAAAACCTCCAGTCATTTATTCAACCATAATCCCTTCCCATTCCTGATATGGAAGATGTACTACCCAAAGCATGCCATGAGCCTCTCGCTCTTTCTTTCCATCTCCCATTCAGGTCCCAAGTCCCACGTTTTGGAACGATGACCCACGCCATCTTCTGGAAGAAACAAAGAGTTGCAAGTATGTGGTGCCTGGATGAGGGAGTCTTAGTTGAGGTTCCAGGGTGAGGGATGAGGATAGGAGAAGAGGGGGTGAGGGGAATAGCAGGCCCTTTCAATGTCCCTGATGCCTTATGTCAGATAACTGTCCCAATTTCCAGCGCTGGTCAGATTGCTTTAATTGACTTTGATATCAAATAAGGACTCTCCTTTTTTGTGAGGGGGGAGGGGAGGGGGAAAGACAAAATACAAAGTCCCAATAGAATCCAATGGTTCAGATGGTTAGCTGGAAGAAAGAAGAGAAAACAGGTGTCCAGTAAAAGAGTGTAAGACATTTGACACTTGGTTAGTACCCCCGATAGATGTTAATATTTTACATAGAAAAACAGGTTTAAAGACATAGTAACTGCATCTCCATTATTTACATTTAAGTTATGTCTTTCATGGTCTCTGGCATCATACTTGGTAGAGGGAAATGCAACAACCAATACATGGGACACCTGCTTCAGGAAAGGTTGCATAGAGGCCTAATAGTTAGTCAACGAAACCAACCAACACTTTAGTGTCAAATTAGATAGAAAGAGTTCCCCAAGTCAAACGAGAAAGAACCACAAAGGACAGTTCCGCTGCTGTTAGATACACCATCAACACAGTCAGTTAATAATAAATAATCAAGCCAAAACAGTAAGGAGATAAGTGTAAAAAGTTAAGACTTCTTCTGTAAATTTGGTGTGGAGGAGTTGTTGTTGTCAATGTCAACAAGTGCTGGATGTTGTGTCTGCTGCTTGGAGGCTGGAGGATGTGGTAGCATAATGAGACTGCGACCTGCTACAGTTGCACAGGGCAGGAGAAGACAAATAGCAAGTCACGTGGCTGACCGGACTGGACGACAACAGCCACAGACAGTCCACCAGCAGCAGCAGGGATGAAAATAGGACTTCTGGACTGGAGCACACCCTCTCTTAACTCCCCAGAATAGAAGCCTAGAATTCCTCAATGTTCTGTATTGCCCAAATCAAGCCTCAAGCTATAGAAAACGAGTGCTGCTAAGTCAATACCAGAAGTTAGAAAAGGGCTGCCCTGTGGGACCATCAGAGGTTTTGTCCAAAATGACACCCTATTACCTATATAGTGCACTACCTTTGACCAAAAGTAGTGCACTATATGGAGAAAAAGATGCTCTGGACAAAAGTAGTGCACTACAGTATATAAGGAATAGGGTGCCATTTCAGGCCCAGAGAGTGTATGTAAGGTTACCTTGGCTTGCCTGTGATGCTTTTGGGATTCTTGCGGAAGGACTGGTTGGCTGCGGGGCGGGTGGACAGGGTGCGGGGCGACGCCCTCAGGAAGGAGGAGGGCGGTGTTTTGGGGATCTTCTTGCCCAGGTGGCCGATCCATTTCTTCTGCTCGTCTTGGGTCAGGGCCAGCAGGAGCATGTCCCGGGCAGAGGTCACGTCGTAGTTCACTGTTAGAGTAGAGGAAACAAAAGCAGGCAGAACACTGAGAACACAAACTCAGGAAGTCTCGATGTCCCTAAGGAGGTTCATCTCCCCTTTAACCCACCCCTTAACGAAAGCCAAATCAAGTTATATTATTGAATTGTGTGTTCTTTCATTTAACCTGCTTTTCTTTCTCTCCTTTATTTTGGTGCCGAAACCCAGCATCGAGCAGTTTGTCTCGTCATTTTTTAAAGTATATTTTTTCACCCCTTTCACCATTGATTTAGGTTTTGTCAGTCTAACCTAACCTCTATGACTGTACCTTTGCAGGGGGCAATGACGTCCTCCTTCTTGTGGAGGTGGTCCTGGTGGCACTTGACGTGGCAGCGGCGGCACTCCAGGGCAGATGGGGGCTTGAATACGTTCCACAGGGGCTTGGCGCAGGCCTCGCAGTTTGTGGGGAAGTGGTAAAGCGTGGGGATGAACTCATGACCTTTGTGGGGCAGACAGTTGGTCTTGTCCCCCTGCGAGACAGTCTCCATGTCCGCTTCCTTCCTGCACTCCCCCTCATTGGCATACAGGATCTAAAAGGGGGAGACAAGAGAGAGTAAGAGTCTCTTCAAAACATTTCTGGGTTTTTATAAAAGGGATAGTTTGAAGCGGTGCTTTTAGGGTTGTATACTACTGAAACAGAAAATCTAAATGAAAAGTATAATAGCTAATTGAAAGTCTCTCTGTGGGGAAAACATGAGTCTACTTAATAACTAATTGTGAATGTACACTGGAGTCCACTCAAGACAGGTGTCAAAATCTAAAATGGGATTGTAATCATCTGTTTGAGCAGGCAGGTCACCCGATACAAATCAGTATTCGACGTCCATCCATGTCTGAGGACGTCCAGGAGATTATGTGGAAACCGGCCACTAGGGGGCAACAGTGAGTGATACCTTCAAGTAGGTTTTGGTTTAGCTTGGATGTTGTGGACAGGGATGGTGGATGGGCGTAAGCATCTGCCTATGGTTCCAAAGGTTGCATGTTTGAATCCAGCGATAGAAAGTTGTTTTTCATATTTGTGTTTTTAGCCTATCCCAAACCTTAACCCTTACCTTAACCATTCTGAGTTAATGCCTAACCTCAAGAATTCAGCGTTAATGCCTAAACTTAACCTTGGAACGATACAGAGAAGTAACCAAACACTTCGAAATTTGACGTTTGAGAAACATGGATGAACGTCTAATTCTGACATGAGACTGTGAGAACTTGTTTGTTTGAGAATGGGCAAGTAAGGTGACTGTAGAACTAAAAATACTGAGCTGGTTAACCTGACCGATGGGGTCATTCTAACGCGACCGCGTTGCCATGAACCACCAGTACAGACGGCTACCGTGCTTTCTGACGTAAGACAATGGGTCAGAAGGTTGATTGGTCAGGTCAGAAGGTTCCTTCCTACCTGGAATATCCTGGGGATCTCCTCTGTCTCTGCTCGGTACACATCACCCTGGGTGACTGGACGCACGTGGAACAGTTTGCTGCACACAACAACAAGCAATGCGTGATTATTGGGTATCAGAATACACCGTCTCACACACTGTTACATGAGCTCTTACAACCCAAGCAATCATTTTCACATAAAACAAACTCATCTAAGACGGTGATATTTTGTCAGCGTTAAAACAAATGGCAAGTGTAAAGAAAATGTAATGAAAAAATGAAATCCAAATCTACAAAACAAGGGTACCTACTCGATATCTAGTACCATGGAGGGGTTGGACTGTTCTTTGTCCTGTTCATCGTTGTAGAACAGAATCTTCTTGCTGCTCACCACCACATACTAAGGAAAAACAGAATCAATAAATAATGTTAGGAATAATCACGTTGGCCCAAAGGAGTAGGCACTAGGCAGCACCATCAGCACAACCTGTATTGTGCAATTGAATATGAATCAGTAATGTCAGTAAATTGATGAAAATCTTCCAGGTGACATACCTGCTTCTTCCAGCCATATCGTTTGATATTCGGTTTATTAGGAATGGACAGCCACCCTTCCAGTCTGGATTCTACACAGACGCAAGATGGACACAAATGAAAACCAAACCTGTGGGTAACACTGTCCCCCAAAACACCATGCAGTGATTCAATTCAAACTCTGCTGGGGGAAGAACAAAAAAGTCATGTGACAAGGCCGGGCCATGATAACTATTTCTATAACTATAACTAATAAGTCATTTCAAGTTCAACTAACTGAGCATGTCTCTATGCCTAGGTTACACTTCAAAAGAACTGTAGTATACAGTAGTATGTGACGGACAGGAGTTAAAATATCCCATGCTGTTACTTCAAGCTCAGTAGTTTTAGATCCCATGCATAAGGGAGCATGAATTAAAAGGGATATATAGAACAGTATAAATGTCTTTACTAAAGCATGTCATATCCACGTTATTTTTCCAGCAAGTTAGATATCATGGGGTAGCTTCAACTCCATCGTGGAGTAGATAGGTGTGTTGTAAAATAATTTTCTATTCAGTCAATGGCTGACCAAGCATGGCCGTTCTAGCCATAGAATTCTAATTGATTAGTGATTATAATTCTATGGTTCTGTCCATCCAACATGGGGGCTTCTGATGCCTCAGTCTACCGTCACATAGCAGAGAACTGAGAGCCTGTATATCGTTGGGAATATCTTTCCATTATGTTAACGTTTTACTGACTCAACACAAAGAGCATGCTTTGGCACAACAACACAGGCTACAAAAGAACAGTGCATTTATCAAAAGCTCCACTACCAGTGTGTGAGAGTTCCTTGGTTCTGAAAAGGCATCGCTTCTGTTCTGAGGTGAACATGCCAACAAAACAAAACTTAAAAACGGAGTGTTTGTTTAAAGCACAAGGGACAGGAGATCAAAAGGGGGTGTGGTTCATGGTTTCCAGACACGTTTTGAAAGGTGCTCAGAGTGATTGGTTAAACCACACAGTGTTGCTGTCTAGTGTTACAGTATCTAACCTCTGATGTAGTCACTATACTTTAGGAGTCACTCAGATTTTATGATAGCTTGACCTGCCACAAAATACATTTACAGCTGACAACATTGAAACTGATTACCTACAGAATACTAATTTATATGGTACAGTTAGAATTTGTACTGAAATGTTAAATTAAGTTCTATATTGTAATTGGTTAATTACAAATGGCTTATGTGAATTATGATTCACCGTTAGTAAATGAAAATGGCCCCAGCCTGGCACAACTTGCTTAAAAAAAGCCAACTTGCTTAAAATACCCAAAAAGGGGCTACGACTGCTCCTTCTGTCACTCAGAATGGCCTTTCAAAAGTGTTGGTGAGAGCATACAAGAGGGATGGGATACCTTTCTCACCCCAAAAACTAAAAAATACAAGCGAGGCGAAAAGACACACAGTAGCACAGCCTAGGCCAGGCACAATGTGGCTCCAACTCCGAGTTACTCACAGAAGGAAAAGAACAGAAGATACAAAGATAGGGAGGAGAGCAAGGAGAACCAACTGGACATGGGGGAATAAGAGATGAGAGAGGACTTTAACCACAGGCACATTCAGGCATTCAACGTACAGCAAATATTGTTGGCATGTCTCCAAAGAAAAACAGTCATTTTCAAATGGACTGTTCAAGTTTGACACTTGAACCAGGTGGGTTAGGAAAGATGAGAATCAGCATTCTTCTATACAGTGCATTCGGAAAGTATTCAGACCCCTTGACCTTTTCCACATTTTGTTACGTTACAGCCTTATTCTAAAAAAAAGTATTATCAATCTACACACAATACCCCATAATGACAAAGCGAAAACAGGTAAATACTTTTTTGCACATTATAAAAAATTAAAAACAGAAATACCTTATTTACATAAGTATTCAGACCCTTTGCTATGAGACAAAATTGAGCTCAGGTACTTCCTGTTTCCAATGATCATCCTTGAGATGTTTCTACATCTTGATTGGAGTTCACCTGTGGTAAATTACATTGATTGAATATGATTTGGAAAGGCACACACCTGTCTATATAAAAGGTCCCACAGTTGACAGTGCATGTCAGAGCAAAAACCAAACGATGAGGTCGAAATAATTGTCCGTAGAGCTCCGAGACAGGATTGTGTCGAGGCACAGATATGGGGAAGGGTACCAAAAAATGTCTGCAGCATTGAAGGTCCCCAAGAGCACAGTGGCCTCCATCATTCTTAAATGGAAGAAGTTTGAAACCAAGAGCTGGCCGCCCTGCCAAACTGAGCAATCGGGGGAGAAGGGCCTTGGTCAGGGAGGTGACCAAGAACCCGATGGTCACTCTGACAGAGCTCCGGAGTGCCTCTGTGGAGATGGGAGAACCTTCCAGAAGGACAACCATCTCTGCAGCACTCCACCAATTAGGCCTTTATGGTAGAGTGACCAGACGGAAGCCACTCCTCAGTAAAAAGGCACATGACAGCCCACTTGGAGTTTGCCAAAAGGCACCTAAAGGACTCTCAGACCATGAGAAACAAGATTCACTGGTCTGATGAAACCAAGATTGAACTCTTTGGCCTGAATGCCAAGCGTCCGTCTGGAGGAAACCTTGCACCATCCCTACTGTGAAGCATGGTGGTGGCAGCATCATGCTGTGGGGATGTTTTTCAGCGGCAGGGACAGGGAGACTAGTCAGGATCGAGGGAAAGATGAACGGAGTAAAGTACAGAGAGATCCTTGATGAAAACCTGCTCCAGAGCGCTCAGGACCTCAGACCGGGCGAAGGTTCACCTACCAACAGGACAACGACCCTAAGCACACAGCCAAGAGAACGCAGGAGTGGCTTCGGGACATGTCTCTGAATGTCCTTGAGTGGCCCAGCCAGAGCCCAGACTTGAACCCGATCTAACATCTCTGGAGAGACCTGAAAATAGCTGTGCAGCGACGCTCTCCATCCAACCTGACAGAACTTGAGAGGATCTGCAAAGAAGAATGGGAGAAACTACCCAAATACAGGTTGGTCAAGCTTGTAGCGTCATATCCTAGACAACTCGAGGCTGTAATCGCTGCCAAAGGTGCTTCAACAAAGTACTGAGTAAAGGGTCTGAATATGTATGTATATGTAATATTTCCATTTTTTATTTGTAATACATTTGCTAAAATGTCAAAAAATCTGTTTTTGCTTTGCCATTATGTGGTATTGTGTGTAGATTGATGAGGGGGGAAAAAAAAAATTAATCAATTCTACAACAAGGCTGTAACGTAACAAAATGTGGAAAAGGCTAAGGGGTCTGAATACATTCTGAATGCACTGTAGGTACTTCACTGCTTCAGAACAATACTGTCATAACTCAACCAGTCATGGAATGGTTTAATAACTTGGAATGGCTAGGATTGATTAGATTTAAATCATGCCAGGGTTATTGTTGGACCATTAAAGCAAGCCTGATGGACCAAACATCTAGCTCAGTGATCCAAAATCCTGCTCCTGGAGAGCTGTAGTACTGTAGATTTTTGTCCCAGCTTAGCATCATCACACCTTCAACACTATTAGCTAAATAATGTGTGCTGTGGCTCGTCACGAGCAGGATTTATGATGTTTGGCCTAGCCGGTCCTTTGACACAGCTGCCCTCGGTTAGTTGACCCCGCGATGACCTTACCGGCGATGTTGCTGTCCGTCTCGTCCATCTGCAGGCTGGAGTTGTCCATGCGCAGCTGCAGGTCGTTGAGCTTCTCCCTCAGCTGCTCGATGTCACTCTCCTTGCTGTCCAGCTGCATCTGCAGCTCATTGCGGTACGTGCACTCCTCAGACAGTTGCTGTTGTAGAAGAGGAGAGGCAAACAGTGAATATGCAGTTAATTTAGGGAAGATCAGAAGCACTGCACCTTCGAGGAGGAATGTAGTACTGCCTTTCACTATTGACTTTAGCTCTGTTCTAAATTAGGAATGTATTTGACTAAATCTTCCTAACTGCCCTATTGTGGACATTCTGTTTTACCTAAAAGAAAGGTTGTTTTTGTTCTATTTTAAAGCATACTATTAATTAAAAGGTTCACATGATCATTGTCAGATGATTTTGAGACCAATGTGACCCTACTGTCAAATTGACTGCCAATGTATAATGTGTTACTGACCGCCTGCATCTCACTGAGCTCCTTCTGGTACTTAATGGCCATGAGGTTGAACTTGTCCTTCTCCTGTTTGAGCTCCAGCTGCAGCTTGCGGTTCTCCTTCTCCTTCTTCCTCAGGTCGGTGGTGCTTCCCTTCTTCTTGGTGTCCAGCTTCATATCCTTCCTGTTCATGATCTCTGCCAGCTTGTTCACCGCCTGGAAAGACAAGGTTGAGGGTTGGGATCAAATAGGGCAACCGGTTGAGGTAAGGTTGAGGTTTAACAAATTGGGGCAACTGGTTGAGGTGTTTGGATGTAAATACGGAGCGCATAACTATTGATGTAGCGTTCTGTAATGTAAATTGTCATGGAAGGTTGAAGTGTCTTTACCTGAGTCTTGAGCGTGCGCTCTGTGCTGAGAACCTTCTCGTAGTTGGTCTTGATTGTGTTTGCAATCTCCTCTTTCTGGGAGGCATACTCTGCAGGAGAGAAGGGTACAGCCTGAGGAAACCAGACAGTCTTACAGGGATCTAACTGACCTATAAGGGACATATAAGGGCCTATGTAGACCTTACCCATAGACCTAGAATATAATAATTAGACCAAGTTATGAAAATGCCGTCTTGATGCTACCTTCCTCCTGAGTGCGAAGCTTGTGGTCCAGCTCGGCCTTCTCCTTGCTGAGGTTCTCCACATCTTTGGTCAGGGTTTTGTTGGAATCCTCAAGCTGGGGAGAGATGCATTCAGAGGTTTAAATGTAGACGTTCTACAGCTGCCTGAGACGCACAAAAACAATCTAAGCTGTTGTTTTCTCTGTGCCCCCATTCCTGGATAGATGCATTTTCCCTGACTTTGAATAATTTTCCATTACATTCATTTTCAATGCAGGAGAGTAGTGTGTATTGAGGCACGCTGTACTGACCCGTGCGATGGTGGCATCCTTCTCGATGCCCTCCTGCTTGTGTCTCGCCGTGGCCTTCTTGTTCTCCTGGCTCAGCTCAAAGTACTGCTCCTCTTGGAGCGCCCTGGCCAGCTGCTCCGACTCCGCCTTGGTCACCGTCAGATCCAGCTGGGCCAACATGGAGTCCCTGGTGGAAGGGAGGGAGGACGGACACACACGGTTTAAAATGGAATCCTAATCACTCCGTGTGGAGATTTGAAAGTAGGGTGGTCGAGAAAAGATGCACCCCATATTTTAAGTACAACGTATGATTACAATACAGATTCTTGCTCTATTGACAAATGCCTGATTTATAATGGTTTCCATTTTGTGATTTGTTACCTTTCGCTGTGCAGCTCCTGCACCTTCTTATGAGATTCATGGACCTGCCGGTTCCTCTCCTCGATATCCTCTTTCAGTTCCTTCACCTGAGTTTTATAAAGCGTCTGAGGGGTAGAGACAGGAGATATGGCAATCAAGTTAGCCACTGAGCCGGGTTATAGGAGAGTGGGGTAGTGGGGTAGGTGGGTCCTACTCACTGAGAAATACTGTTCGGCCTCAAGCTGGTCCTGAAGTTCCCTCATCTGTCCCTCGTTGCCCCTGTACTGCCTGGAAGACAGACACACAAGTCACATGATTAACATATTGCATATTATTACAGAAACATCTCAAAACAACCAATCAGTGTTGAAAGGGAAATTCAGACTGATAAAATCTAACTTTTCAGCCACAAAATGTTAGTGTATAGATTATGAACCTAATGACACTATACTATCCAGTATGTTCCAGGTCTGTAATTAGCTGGGGAATAACACCACCACCACTCCTTGCAGAGCTCCGTAGGCGGAAACCTACAGACCGCAGCCGGATTAACAGTCCAGTCAGTCTGGTCTGGTGGGAGGAGCTGGACTGCAGGCTAATCCTTAATCCTGCGGTGTAAACATTGTCGGAGGGCAGCTTTGCCACAGTTACCCCCTAAGCTGGAGAGCCTTTTTACTAGAATAACAACCAATTGTAGGGCCATTTAATGTTGACTCCCAAAGCAGTATTAGCTTGCTGCAGGAAGGAAAAATGTAAAACTAAAGACTATTACAGAATATTAGACTTTCAGAATAGAGTTTAGCTAATGAAGACCGATAAGTGTGGCTGGAAGGTATTGCACTCATTTGGAAGAGAGGTAACATGCATTGAGACGATGCTCAATGTGGGCCTGTTGAGGATCGAGCTAGAAGTCACCCACAGATCTAGGATCAGATCACCCAACCCCCCATCCCAACCATAATAACCATTAGTGAAAAGACATGACCCTTGTATAAGTGACTAGTGGTAAACTCTACCTACTCCATTATTTGTGGTGCATAGTTCCAAGTCAAACTGTGGTGGGCTGTGACAATATGTGACTAGTTTGGTGGGTATTCTCACTTGGTGAGCTGTGCGAGCTGGAACTCGAGCGAGCGTTTGCACTCTAGTGCCGTGTTGATCTCCTGCTTCAGCTGCTTCTCCGAGCCCTTCAGCCGGTCAGCCTCCTGCGAGCGGCTCTTCAGCTCGTTCTGGGCCAGCACCCTCTTACTGGACTCCTGCTCCAGCTGCATCCGCAGACCTTTCACCTGAGAGGAAAGGGGGAGGGAACCACAGGTGTTAGGACACAAGAGAAACAGTATGTCCTAACTACACAGAGGTTATACCAGGAGATTTCGACTTGGGTAAAATCGCCAGCGTTCACTTAGGGGGCCTGAATCCTAACTACTGTGAAATGTACCATTAGTAACAATTCATGATTTACGTCTGATAAGTCTGATAGAGATGGTTGTATGAGAGATGCAAAGTTGAAGGTTTTAAGCATGTGATTGTGGGCATCCACCCCAGACAGTACAAGTTAACATCAGGTGGTGTTCACCTCGTCCTCCAGCCTCTCCTTCTGCTTCATCAGCTGCTCCATCTTCTGCACCGACTGCTTGAGGTCAAACTCCAGCATGGAGCACTGCTTCTCCACCTCCACCACCCTGCTCTCCGCTCGCATCCTCGCCCCGCTCTCCTCCGACACCTTCTGCTGCACCGCTGAAGGGAGAGAGGGAAGGAAGGAGATGTGTCACTCAGTTGCAACTATCCATCCATTATTCTCACCAACAGATTACATAGGACATTTGTGCTCAGTCATTTGAAATGAACTACATTGAATAGGTCAGGACTGCAACAGCTGTTGCACAAATTGCTGGAAAACAAGTAAATGTTGCTTCAAACAGTGCTAGTCTCAAAGTAATTTCTGTTGTTTTTGGAAGGTGGGATGGGGTCCAGATTTTAATACGTAGGGTGGTAAAGTCTCGGCATGCCACATGGAGGGGAGCGGAGTACATTCCCTGAATTCCGCCCCTATCCATCCAGTGCCCCCTGGGTATGAGTGGTGCAGGTGGGGAAAATTAAAAAAGAGAGACAGAGAGACAGACAGAGAGCGAGAGGGACAGACAGACTAAAAAAGGAGACAGATGGTAGTGGTGGGTAGGGTTTGCTCCATCACAGGCTCAGAAATACCATGCATGGCAGCTGACTTGGCCTCTTCAATGGACTCGTATTTGTCAGTGAGCTGGGCCCGTGTCACTCTGTGTTCTGTGTGTTCCTGATCCAAATGCTGCTGCAGAGTCTTCAGCTTGTAGTTCAGGTCAATCTCCAGGTTGTTCTTCTCCTGTTGGGAGACAACATAGAATTACATATAGAATCCCTAGGATGGACATTGGCATACTAGCAGCATGTGAAAAATAAATAAAATAAACGTCCATCTTGATCAGGAAAACATTGATTCTGCTGATCTTTATGGGAGAGAGGCTCTTAAGACTGGGAATAAGGGGACTAAAATACCAGTTAGATATACAGTTGGTTATCACACCAATTAAGATGTGTTCAGTCTAAATGTTTGGTTTACTTTGTTAAGATTGAAAAGAAAATAGCTCATATAGAGCACAGCTGTTTTATTTTTGATACTTCCATTTGGACCACAACTGACCGTAGGCGGACTTCACAAGTAACTGGATATCCATGACAGGGTTTGTGTTAGCATTAGAAAGCATTGTATGGGTTTTGTATGTGACATGTGGAGAGACTTGGAGGGCACAAACCTTCTCCAGGTTGTTGCTCCTCTCCTGGGCCTGCTTGCGTTCCGTCTCCACTTTGGACAGGCTGAGTTTCAAGTTCTTATTGTCCTCCTGAAGACCCGTCATCCGTGCTACAGACATACAGAGAGAAACAGAGTCACCATCAAAACAGTGTTTTGTGCAATGTGCTAAACCCGTGTTGACAACACACCATAATGCATAGCTTTTAGACTTGGAAAACGACATTTGTACATCTACAAAAGTCTGGACTGTAAGGACACTGGACAATAAAGTATTATTTTTCTATTTATGGACTTCTGTACACTTCAAATTCAGTCTGAATTAAGAGCAATATTTCAACACAATCCCTCAGATATATTCATCCCCAAGCCTCTCCTACTGTACGAAGATCTTCAAAGTGCTTCTCTCCAGTTTAAAAAAGGACTGTTTGACAGACTAATCGGAGCCTGATATGAGTTCTGTGGGCATGGGAAGTGCCTGGGTATGTCTAATGAACTGGAGCTAATATTCCCCAGCTGTCTCTTAAATAGTGAGTGAGTTCACTTCAGATCATTTGAAGTTAGTAAGAGTGACTGAGGTATTACTGTAAAGGAAACTAAAATGGTGTAGGCAATCACATTAATCCAGTCTAGTCCTAACACATGCCCAAAGTGAATGCGGGGTTGCAGTCAGACACCTCGTATTTACTCAAACACGGAGTCGTGTCCAAGTCACATTTACTCATAGAACAATGAGTGTTCCAATTCTCCACCCTTTTCCTTGTCTGGTGCACTTGTGCACTCCCCTACATAGATTTAAAAGCCTATGATTGGTATAAGAGACCGTGCTTACCTGAGTGCTTAGCTATGTATTTTTTGTTGTATGCATAGACCCTGGGAAGAGTAGCTGTCAGCTAATGGGGATCCGAATAAAGATTAAAGAGTGCACACTTTACGGAGAAGTGTGGAGAATTGGGATGTACCCAAATGGTACCTTGCAGCTCGTGGATCTCCTCTGATCCCTGGCTGTAACTCCTCCTCTCAGAGTCCAGGGTGCTCTGCAGCTGCAGCAGCTCCTTCTCCAGCTGGGCCCTCCCCCCGTCGGCCGAGCGGCTCTTCTCCTGCAGCTCGCGGTTCAGCCCCTCCAGCTGGCTCATGGACTTGGCCATCTCCATGTGGCTCTTCCTCAGCCGCGCCGCCGTGTCCGACTCTGCCCGCAGCAGGTCATTGGCCTCCTCCAGCTGTCAGTCAAGGAAACGGCCATTAGGAAAGCTCACAGAGTCAATATTACTTCCTGACACAAACGATCCGCTCAGCTGCTGCAGAATGTTTGATTCTGAGTTGGGTTTCTTAACCAATATGTTCTTAACCAATGTTGTGAATAGAATGATATCCATTCATACGCTTCTAATAATACCTAATAGGCAAATACTACTTTTACTCTCTGAAAGGGCTATACCAGTCCAGTATGAGGCCTTGATTCCTCAGTGTCCTTCACTTGCTCTATGAAAATAAAATGTGACTTCAATTTGCTGATGTAATTTGCATCAATACAGTTGAAGTCGGAAGTTTACATACACCTTAGCCAAATACATTTAAACTCAGTTTCACAATTCCTGACATTTAAACCTAGTAAAAATTCCCTGTCTTAGGTCAGTTAGGATCACCACTTTATTTTAAGAATGTGAAATGTCAGAATAATAGTAGAGAGAATGACTTATTTTAGCTTTTATTTCTTTCATCACATTCCCAGTGGGTCAGAAGTTCACAAAACACTCAATTAGTATTTGGTAGCATTGCATTTAAATTGTTTAACTTGGGTCAAACGTTTCAGGTAGCCTTCCACAAGCTTCCAACAATAAGTTGGGTGAATTTTGGCCCATTCCTCCTGACAGAGCTGGTGTAACTGAGTCAGGTTTGTAGGCCTCCTTGCTCGCACACACTTTTTCAGTTCTGCCCACACATTTTCTATAGGATTGAGGTCAGGGCTTTGTGATGGCCACTCCAATACCTTGACTTTGTTTTCTGAGGTCTTGGCTGATTTCCCCATGATGTCAAGCAAATAGGCACTGTGTTTGAAGGTAGGCCTTGAAATACATCCACAGGTACACCTCCAATTGACTCAAATGATGTCAATTAGCCTATCAGAAGCTTCTAAAGCCATGAAATCCATTTTCTGGAATTTTCCAAGCTGTTTAAAGGCACAGTCAACTTAGTGTATGTAAACTTCTGACCCACTGGAATTGTGATACAGTGAAATATAAGTGAAATAATCTGTCTGTAAACAATTGTTGGAAAAATTACTTGTGTCACGCACAAAGTACACTGCTCAAAAAAATAAAGGGAACACTAAAATAACACATCCTAGATCTGAATGAATGAAATAATCTTATTAAATACTTTTTTCTTTACATAGTTGAATGTGCTGACAACAAAATCACACAAAAATGATCAATGGAAATCAAATGTATCAACCCATGGAGGTCTGGATTTGGAGTCACCCTCAAAATTAAAAAGTGGAAAACCACACTACAGGCTGATCCAACAGTGATGTAATGTCCTTAAAACAAGTCAAAATGAGGCTCAGTAGTGTGTGTGGCCTCCACGTGCCTGTATGACCTCCCTACAACGCCTGGGTATGCTCCTGATGAGGTGGCGGATGGTCTCCTGAGGGATCTCCTCCCAGACCTGGACTAAAGCATCCGCCAACTCCTGGACAGTCTGTGGTGCAACGTGGCGTTGGTGGATAGAGCGAGACATGATGTCCCAGATGTGTTCAATTGGATTCAGGTCTGGGGAACGGGCGGTCCATAGCATCAATGCCTTCCTCTTGCAGGAACTGCTGACACACTCCAGCCACATGAGGTCTAGCATTGTCTTGCATTAGGAGAAACCCAGGGCCAACCGCACCAGCATATGGTCTCACAAGGGATCTGAGGATCTCATCTCGGTACCTAATGGCAGTCAGGCTACCTCTGGCGAGCACATGGAGGGCTGTGCGGCCCCCCAAAGAAATGCCACCCAACACCATGACTGACCCACCGCCAAACCGGTCATGCTGGAGGATGTTGCAGGCAGCAGAACGTTCTCCACGGCGTCTCCAGACTCTGTTACGTCTGTCACATGTGCTCAGTGTGAACCTGCTTTCATCTGTGAAGAGCACAGGGCGCCAGTGGCGAATTTGCCAATCTTGGTGTTCTCTGGCAAATGCCAAACGTCCTGCACGGTGTTGGGCTGTAAGCACAACCCCCACCTGTGGACGTCGGGCCCTCATACCACCCTCATGGAGTCTGTTTCTGACCGTTTGAGCAGACACATGCACATTTGTGGCCTGCTGGAGGTCATTTTGCAGGGCTCTGGCAGTGCTCCTCCTGCTCCTCCTTGCACAAAGGCGGAGGTAGCGGTCCTGCTGCTGGGTTGTTGCCCTCCTACGGCCTCCTCCACGTCTCCTGATGTACTGGCCTGTCTCCTGGTAGCGCCTCCATGCTCTGGACACTACGCTGACAGACACAGCAAACCTTCTTGCCACAGCTCGCATTGATGTGCCATCCTGGATGAGCTGCACTACCTGAGCCACTTGTGTGGGTTGTAGACTCCGTCTCATGCTACCACTAGAGTGAAAGCACCGCCAGCATTCAAAAGTGACCAAAACATCAGCCAGGAAGCATAGGAACTGAGAAGTGGTCTGTGATCACCACCTGCAAAACCAGTCCTTTATTGGTGGTGTCTTGCTAATTGCCTATAATTTCCACCTGTTGTCTATTCCATTTGCACAACAGCATGTGAAATCAGTGTTAATCAGTGTTGCTTCCTAAGTGGACAGTTTGATTTCACAGAAGTGTGATTGACTTGGAGTTACATTGTGTTGTTTAAGTGTTCCCTTTATTTTTTTTAGCAGTGTAGATGTCCTAACCGACTTGCCAAAACTATAGTTTGTTAATAAGACATTTGTGGAGTGGTTGAAAAACAAGTTTTAATGACTCCAACCTAAGTGTATGTAAACTTTCGACTTCAACTGTACATGTAATGCAACAAAGCCATAGGGTGATGACACAGGGTCAGATATCGTTCATCCTTGTTATGGTTCAGATTTAGGGTGGAGTAATCTGATCCTTGATCTGTGGTTAAAACCTGGCCTGCCCTCTCCTTCACCCATCTCACACATCAAAACTAACATCCCCTTCCCTTCACTGTCTGTACCTTTGACACACATTCTGACCCTCTGATCGGATGAGCCGACTACTACATTGACACAGACCTCAAACAACCCCCTCACACCTAGAATGACCCCTGTGCTGTGTGGATGGTAATCAGAGAGAGCAGTGTGTGTGTGTTACTGTACCTGATTCTGCAACTGTAGGATTTTGTCATTTGAGGCCTGAGAGTTTTGGCAGATTTTCCTCATGGCCTCAAGCTGCTCCTTCAGAGTGGACACTGAGAAGAGAGAGTAAGATAAGTCAATCACACACACCACACACACACACACGTCTCCCTTTCAAAACATGACACTACACTACACTTACTGTATCAAGAAACAGTTTTTTGTGCATGGGATTTGCTCATGCGTTGCATTTAAAGTGCTCTGTTTATGCACATGTTGGTATCGGATCTGGTGAATCCACTTAGTTTACAGCAATGGGAGGGTCTCAGGTGGTGTGTGTCTGGGTTAAGACTGCTAGTCAGAGGGTCAGAGGCTAGCAGACAACCAGACTAGCAGGTCAAGCTGCTCTAGACTTGCCTGGCCAGGGTGAGTAGTAATCCAGTTGGGACAAACATCTGTTTGGGCCAGATCAAGGCTACGTCCTAAATGGCACCCTATTCCCTATGGGCCCCCGTCAAAAGTAGTCCACTATATATGGAACAAGGTGCCATTTGGGACGCACCCCAGACATCAGGGACACACACTAACATCAGGGAGGTGAGGGATGCCCCCCCCAAAATATAACCGAATAGGTGCAGTGAAATGTGTTGTTTTACAGGGTCAGCCATAGTAGTACGGCGCCCCTGGAGCAAATTAGGGTTAAGTGCCTTGCTCAAGAGCACATTAACAGATTTTTCACCTTGCCGGCTCGGGTATTCGAACCAGTGACCTTTAGGCTCTAACCGCTACAGCCCTGGGGAGAGATCTTATCATGGATTATCCTGTAGTAGCATTAACCCTGTCAATATAATGCCCAAACCACTTGTATACATTATATGCTTTATGAACATGTAAAGTACTGTAATACTGTACACGCCTACAATCATATTTGTTCCTAATCAGTGTTACAAACACTTGTTATAGACACGATTATAAAACAGAGGTGTTGACTAAAACAGGGGGAGATTGAAGAGAGATTAAATGAAAGAGTAAATGACAGAGAGGGAACATTTTGTAAGAATCCTTACCCTCGTTCTCCAAGTTGCGTCTCTTCTCGGCCTCATTGTCGGCCTTTCTTTGGTACTCGGTGGCTCGGTGCTGGATCATCATCTTGTCTTTCTCCAGCAGGGAAATGCTGGCCTCCACACCCTTCCTCACGTTGGCCTGGGAGGGGAGGGGAGGGAGGACAGGAGTAAGTCCTCAAAGTACAGAGCATTTAGACCCTATATTATTCGTTTTTTTTACACATTTGTAGACAACAGTAGATCGTTACTATCCATTTGCCTTCATATGTGTTGCAGAATCCTAGATATTCACTCACCTCCTCGTCCAGCTCTTTCATGATCTTGTCAAGCTTTGTGTTCGAGGTCCTAAAGAAAGACACAGATTTGCACTTTAACTTGCTTTGCTTGATCTTCTAAAATGGGAACTACTTCAGATCAAGAGCATTGTTCTTTAAAAGACAGACAGGATGTTTTGGTTCTCAAACCCAGCATTGTGTATTTGTTTAGCTTGAGATCGGACTTATTGGAACGGACTGACAGGTTGTATACCTGCACTTCTGCTCCATCTCGTCCTTTAGCTGCATCTCACTGTGTAGTTGTTCTTCCAGCTGGTAGATCCTCTTCTGCAGGTTCTCCAGCTGAACAATAAACAACGCACGTTTTAACGTATAATACATTAAACAGATACTCTGGAAAAGAGCGTCTTCTGAATGACTAAAATGTCAACGTAAACTAGTGTTATGACGCAAATGCACACGGCAGAAGTAGACTGCTTTAATCTGGTAGTTTGGAGTAACAGCAGCCGTGAGAAAGAAGTCATACTTTCGCCATGATAGAACTGATTCTGATACAAAATGGTTTTCTGCTGAGTGTTTTGCATTGATCTGTGTCAGGTCCTGAGGAAACTGTTAGGTGTGTGGCTGTAATTTCTATTTGAAGTGGGGGAAATAGCAGCAGTAGCTCAATGCACCATTATAACATTCACATTTTATTAAATTAAGAGTTTTAAATGTGATTGTATATCCTTGTAGGTAACAATGTCACAAGGATCATTTAAATTGTAATTTAGACAAAGCTTTTTCATTAAAATAGGCCTACACATTGTGTGTGTGAAAATTAACTCACTCAAGTAATCGAATACTAACATCCGTTCGGATATTCAATTAAACGATTAACCGTGCCCATCCCTATAACAAGCTTGCAGTCAATTTGTCTTCGCAGAAAGTAGTAATGCAACTCCAGATGCAACAAACAGTGTCTTGTTTTAATATCCAAGTGAGTACTCACATGGCTCTTGTCTTCCTTAGTGGAGCTGCTGCGTTTGTCAACACTCTTGGTGCTGGAGCTCCGGGAAAACCTGGGGAATAGACCACAACAGGATGATCAGATCTAGTCAGAGACAACAATAGGACCACACTTCCCTGACCTGAGCCAATGATGATCTGACCACACCGTGAACACACATCCCACTGGGTCAAACATGTTGTGGTTGTTTGTCTAGGTCAGGTTACCTACTCTGCAGTATGAGACATTCGCATGTGCATGTCTAACAAGCTCTGGGTGAGATTAACTATGTAGTTATACAGTTAGCCTTAGATTTCTGTGACAGTATAAAAAACGGCTAATGGCTCTAGTACAGGGGTGTCCGACTAATTTGCCCCGCGGGCCCGCGGAACCGGCCCACTGGCCGTATGTTTAACACCCCTGTTCTAGTAGGTGCAGCCAGAATGTGTTGACTGTAGTTGACATTAGACAAACTGATGATTGCTCCAGCAGGTGCAGCCTGACTATTTTGACTGTGGTTAGGGCCTTGAGTTTTTCCTGACCAACTGAGCTGACCAGGAAAAGCCTAGGCGAAGACTGACAGTGTTGACTGTAGTTGATGAAGCCTGGGTAAGCGGACAGAGCCAACACATACTCTGGACACCATTTTGCCGACACGGATTAAGCCTAGTCCTGGACTAAAAATCAGTTTCAATGGAAATTCTCCAGGAAAAGGGCCTTAAGAGCCTTCCTGATGATTGCTGTAGTAGTAGAAGCCTGGCTATGCTGAGTGAGACTTACTGATGACTGCTATAGTAGGTGAAGCCCACAAAGGGCAGCTGGTTGCCCACAAAGGCCTTTGGTATGGGGAAGGTCTCCTCATCTCCCCGGTCCGCCTCGATGTCGTCAAAGTTACTGGTGTCGATGTCGCTGCTCAGCTCAGGCACCACCGGAGCCGCCGCTGGAAACGCAGATGGACAGAAGGTGGAGAGAAGAGAGAAACATGACTCACTGCAGATGGAGAGGTATTCTCCTAGTTTTCTATGACTTGGTGCAGAGCCACACTGAGTTGAGATCATGTTGTAGAGGAAATGTCAGTCATAAACTGAGGCGTGTACTGTACTTCTAAAACTGGCTTTTGGTGCAAGAAGCACACTTTACATCACTCTCATATCTCATCTCTGCTTATCACAATCTTCTACTGTCAAATATGTCAGTCTTTATCTTCCTCTTTATATTATATAAACAGACTCGTGTGGCCAAGCCAAAGTGCTGACTGCAGCACTTCAGATGATTTAATAAACCCCATAAAGAGACAGGGGTCGCGTTAACGCAGAATTCTGCAATTTTCCATGCAGAAACAAAATCTATGCTGCATGCTGAAAACGCAGGTACTGACCATGACATTGAATTTCAAGTTCCAACTTTTTATATTTAAGAAGACTCGCTGAAATGATCTGAAACGTCTCATCCATCCTCCCAACCTCTCGCTTACAACCACTCGCTCTCTCTCTGCGGGGAGGGTGTATGTGGCGGGAGACAATTTCAATGGGGGCACCGGAGTCCCGAAATTCTTACTTTAATAAGGCACGCACCATTTTTGACCAGGCTGCCAAAAGGACAAAATAGAGAGCAATGCGAGAGAGTGAGATGAGGAAGTAAGATTGGGCAAGTGTGCACATTGACAACGTTTGCTATGTTGCCGTTTTCACACTAGTTTGTTTGCTAGAGTTCGAACCAGGGTTTGATTAGCCTATTTGTTACATTGTGGTTACAATGAAGAATGTAAAAGAATGAAATTAAAACAATCTTATTCATTATGTCTTGACGACATCGGCAAGACGGAGCTGCTCTTCCTCCCGGGAAGGACTGCCCGTTCCATGATCTCGCCATCACGGTTGACAACTCCGTTGTGTCCTCCTCCCAGAGTGCAAAGAACCTTGGCGTGACCATGGACAACACCCTGTCGTTCTCCGCTAACATCAAAGCGGTGACCCGATCCTGTAGGTTCATGCTCTACAACATTCGCAGAGTACGACCCTGCCTTACACAGGAAGCGGCACAGATCCTAATCCAGGCACTTGTCATCTCCCGTCTGGATTACTGCAACTCGCTGTTGGCTGGGCTCCCTGCCTGTGCCATTAAACCCCTACAACTCATCCAGAATGCCGCAGCCCGTCTGGTGTTCAACCTTCCCAAGTTCTCTCACGTCACGCTGCTCCTCCGCACACTCCACTGGCTTCCAGTTGAAGCTCGCATCTGCTACAAGACCATGGTGCTTGCCTACGGAGCTGTGAGAGGAACGGCACCTCCGTACCTTCAGGCTCTGATCAGTCCCTACACCCAAACGAGGGCATTGCGTTCATCCACCTCTGGCCTGCTGGCCCCCCTACCTCTGCGGAAGCACATTTCCCGCTCAGCCCAGTCAAAACTGTTCGCTGCTCTGGCACCCCAATGGTGGAACAAGCTCCCTCACGACGCCAGGACAGCGGAGTCACTCACCACCTTCCGGAGACACTTGAAACCCCACCTCTTTAAGGAATACTTGGGATAGGATAAAGTAATCCTTCTACCCCCCCTTACCCCACCCCAAAGAAAAAAAAAAAAAAAAACATTGTAAAGTGGTTGTCCCACTGGCTATCATAAGGTGAATGCACCAATTTGTAAGTCGCTCTGGATAAGAGCGTCTGCTAAATGACAAAAATGTAAATGTAAATGTAATTATGAACTAATCAGATGCGTGTCGTGAGCGTGTCATTTTTCCAACGCACCTATAGTGTTCTTATTTCGTCAACACTTTTGAGTAGGCTACAAGTAAAGTGAGCAATAAGAAATCAATCTCCACCTTTTTTTTCCTTTTTTTTGAGCGCTCCAACTCCTTTTTTTTCCAAATTTGTCCTTTTGGAAGTATTTCTTGGTAAACCCTTCTCATGATTTTTGTCATTGTTGTTGAGCACCCCTCCTTTCCTTTATTTACTGAAGCACGAAGGCCCACCTGAACTCTGGGCTACAAGTATATTACGGCAATAATATCATTCAGATTATTGATTATAATGACATGATAGGGTAAAGAAAACTACATTTTCACATCCTCTTGAACTGACCCATATTTTCCTGCATTCTAGAACACTGAGCAGACCCATGTATATGTATTTATTGTCCGTTTGTTTAATTAGAATGCAGGTGAAATCTATTAAAACACAGCTTTTTGGATGGTCTGCGTTTTGCTAAAGCTAAAGTGACCCTGAGAGCTGCTACAGCCACTGACTGGATTTACATTTAGCCCCCCACCTCTAATCTCTCCGCTGCAGCCGGAGACCACATGAATACTAACGCCAGGCTCCTGTTCAGTAGGGTACACCGCAGCAAAAATGCTTTGCAACAGAAACCAAAATGAGTCTTTCTTATTGGACAAGTTTAGGTAGTACCTCCCAGTTTCAAAATGTTTTTATCCCTACTGGACATGACCGAGGAAAGCTTTCCTCCCCGTTCTCACCCTCAAAGCAACCATCCAGGTTCACACAATGAAATCGTGGAATTCAGTGCTTATTGACTGAAATGAATGGTTCTTATTCTGACATTTCCTGTGACTGTCTTTAGTAGGTCAATTGGAAAACATGTATTATAGCATGTCTGGCTATCTGTAACATTTGTCAACAGAGCAATACAGAGTTAAGGGGGAGGAGCGTTACAAAGGAAGCATGAAACCTGAACAGAACTCACTATCTCGAATGTTCTCCCATGTCCACTGGTCATTCTTGAAGAAAGGATGTCTCTTGATCTCATCCACCCCGTTGCGACCAAGTCTTACCTCCCTGATGACGAATTAAACACAGGAACATAGAACAACGTACAGTTTAGTGATTCTGCAATCCACTGATAATATCCATTATTATTCAGAGTCTATGGCTTTGCATCTAACAGTCTCTGAGCACAACCCAGTGAAAGCATTTAGGCATGATTGATATCTCTTCAAAAGATCACAGCTCGATGTTTGAGTGATTACTCAAATACTTAAGTCTAATCAAATCAATGAGATCATAACACTATTCCCTTTCTAGCTACTTGTCCATGTGGAAAATCATTGGTGAAACAAGAAATGAAAGGGGATACCTAGTCAGCTGTACAACAATGCACTCAACTGAAATGTGTCTTACGCATTTAACCCAACCCCTCTGAATAGTGCGAGATTTTGTCAATTAAGCCCTTTATCTATTTACCCAGAGTCAGATGAACTCATGGATACAATTTTGTTGTCTCTGTATGCAGTTTGAAGTGTTAGCGCAATGCTAGCTGTTCCCATAGACTTCCAGTCATAGCGCTAACTAGTTAGCAATTGCTTGCAAAACTACCGTTAACTTCCTTCAATGAGTTCAGCTGACTGAGCAAGTAAATAAAGGGCTTAATTGCCAAGATCTCGCACTATCCCTTTCTAACTCGAGCCCCTCCGAACCACCATCATCTTACCTGTCAGTCAGGAAGGCACAGATGAGGTTCTTGGCATCCTTGGAGATGTCACTGTCGTCAGGGAAGGTCAGGGCGTTCTTGTGGTTCATGATCTTACTGTACGTCCCCACCAACGAGTCAGCGTAGAACGGTGTGTCACCTATAGGCACACAAAACCACAGGCATTGGGGTTAGCTAGTGTATACACAGCCAACAGATTTTCAATGGTTCACAATGGTGGTTTGCTAACCTTAACTTTACACCTACACTTCACCCAACGTTGATCTCTATGCCTAACCATAATCTTTGAATCTGCAGGTTGAATATCCTATCCACTTCCTTTAGGTTACTGGAATGTCTACAATAGGTAGCGACAAAACCATCACAAATAAACATACTGAAAAAGCACACACTTGGCTATAAACACAAAAACACTGGAAGTCCGGGGTCATTCCAGAGACCACATCCACCCAGGTTCAGTGTGTGAAATGTTTTCTTTAGTCAGCATGTGATTTGCTGCCAGTGGGCAATGTGAAACACATGATAGTATTCTTTGCAACTTCCTCATTGTATAGTATGGATTCATGGTGTGTTTAGTGCAAAATTATACAAGGGAAAGATGTTAAGTACTAACAAGGGGAAATTGTTATGTCCTGTTTGCGAGTTAATGGGAATACTCTGCTCCAGAAATACAATAGGAGGTTCATATGATCAGTTTGTTTCCCCATCGTAACAGTGTGAGAAAAGGTCTCGTATAGCGACTCACCGACGAGCATTTCATACAGGAAGACTCCCACGGACCACCAGTCACACTCCCGGCCATAATATCCATCTCCTCCTTGGGATTTTAGTACCTCTGGCGAAATGTAGTCTGGCGTTCCCACTGCTGTGTCGCATCGTACCATACCATCCTGAAACACAGCATCATATTAAACGGCTATTCTACTGTATTCATAAACACTGCTGTGTCGCATCGTACCTCTGCTTATATGCTCTGCCTAAAATACATAAGCTGTCACAGTTCAAGAAAGCAAATCAATTGTAGGCCTATGTGTTGATATGTAAGAGGAAAAATGCAAAGTAAATGTGTTAGAAACTGCTAAACTGTTCTAAAGATTGATGAACCGTCACTAGGGACGGGCACGGTTAATCGATTAATTCAATATCTAAACAGCTGTTAGTATTCGATTACTTGAGTGAGTTAATCTTTGGAAAAAACAATTTAAAAGCTTTGTCTAAATTAAATTACAATTATCCTTGTGACATTGTTAGCTACTTACAAGGATATACCATGACATTTGAAATTCTTAATTCAATAAAATAAAATAAACTTTTAAATGTAGTTTTTCTAACGGTGCGTTGAGCTAGGGCCTAGCCCTCCAGTCTGCCCTGACATCGGTATGCAATTTTCCCACTTCAAATAGCAATAACAGGCGCACACCTAATGTAGTTTCCACAAGACGTGGACACTCACCAGAAAACCTTTTTGTTTCAGAATCAGTTCTATCATGAATGGCGAAAATCTTGACTTCTCTTTTCACTGTTGTGTTAGCGGTTTTCCTCTGCCATGTGCATTTGCTTCATTTTGATTGGTCAAGAGAGACAAGACCAACTTATTTTTTGGGAGGGGGGGGATATTCCAAAAAAAAAAAGTAATGATATTATTTGAATATCACTATGCTAAATTCTGTAGTTAACCCTCGGATCCCGGGTCGGATCACGCTCGGTGTCCATGGACCTCGGATCTGTCTGAAAATAAGTGAAATACCGATCAGATCCTTAATTATATTTGAAGATATCCTGATGAAAATAAATATCCTCTATAAATCAAATTTGCTATGCATGGCAGTCGGTTCATTCAAAAGCATTAATCTCTCTCCTCCGCCTGTCTGCCTCTCTCTCTGTCTGGCTTGAGCTCACTATAGCGAACTTGCAGCTAGTGTTGTCACGATACCAGAATGTTGACTTCCATACCAGGTTTAGTATCACAAAACTCGATACATCACGATACTCAATACCAAAACGATACCACAGCAAAAAAAGAAGGCGTATTAGCCTGTCACAGATGGCACTTGATCCAGACAGATCTTTCGAGTTCAATATCAATACATTTGAACATTTAGATGATTTTATGTATGCATTAATGAAACAATTATACAATCAAACAATCAATTAGACTGTTTTTTAACCAAACTAACTACATAATGGTAATCATTTATTTGAATGGTAAACCTCTAGTCTATTGATAAACTGCCCTCCTGTAGTTCAGTTGGTAGAGCATGGTGCTTGCAACGCCAGGGTTGTGGATTCGATTCCCATGGGGGGCCAGTATGAAAAATGTATGCACTCACTGGATAAGAGCGTTTGCTAAATGACTAAAATGTCAATCAAGATGCAGCCTAGGCCTATTCACAATACAGGTGAATGCATATTCAATAGGAGCTTGTTTTGGCTGATTTCATGGGGTTACAGATGAAAAACAATCCATTTGGTACTTATTTAGTTCTACTGATCAACAACATTTGCATAGATAAAGCAATCTCTTTCATAAAAGTGTGCACTGTCCCTTAAAGACCCATGCCATCATTCACACACACAGTCAGTTTGAGGCTAGAGCTAAGATGATCTTGACTGGGAGAGACGTGAGGTGGGGGAGACTAAGTGAATTAATAACGTTTTTGGTGACAATCAGCTTTGAAATATTTTGAGTTATGGTATCATAAACAAGGTACTAGGGTAGTGAATTGGATGTTCGCTTCAGCTGTAAGCTAGCAAGGAAAGTTAGCCTACAAAGCTAGAAGCTACCGGTATTGTCTTACATTGTAGTGTTCTAGACTGTATGGACATTGCTTGGCAAACAGTAATTAACAATTTCAACTTTAACTTCTGTGCTGCATAAGCAGTGATGCAGCCCAGACTCCCACTGAGTGCAGTGGTTCCTCAGGACAGGCTAGAGCTAGCAATGAGTAAGTGGAGCAGGCACAGTGCTCTCGCGCTATAAGGGGACACTGGCTGCACTGATAGACTTGATTCGCTCTCAATCAGTAGACTATGTGAGACACATTTGACAGAAGTACCGAAATTAACAAATTCTAGAACAGTTTTTCATGTTCTAGAATCGAAAAACGTATCGAAGTTTCGGTATACCATGCAACACTGTTTCAACTGGGCCCTCACTGTTTCCTTCGCCAATGAGCTCGGAACTGACACAGCTGTATTTGCGCAAAGGAGAAGTGTTCAGGTAGCCTATTTTATGACGTTTCCACTGGAGATATGGGATCAGCAATATGTTGCAATTTCACACAGAGGCGCGGTCCATACTTAGTATTATTGAAAAGGAGTGTTGGAAAGATTTTTGAAATACAGTGAGGATCTATTGTCATTCGCAATGGATGTAAAACACGGTTGACTTTCTGTGTGAGGTGACAAAAAAATAATACTTTGAGAACCTCCGCAGCTCATAAGACAATCAGAAATACTATCAGACATCCCCAAATTGGGATACTCCTGTGTGCTCAAGCAAAATATATATTAAAAAAAACAAAAAAACAAAGGGCAAACAATTCACAAAATGAAACAATGAATGCACACGGATTAGCGGAAGACAGAGAGCGCATTCTGGAGAGCGATTAGCGGGAGACAGAGAGCACATTCTGGAGAGAGATGCATCTATAGTGTGTCTTCATCACACACTCCTTCCCTTCTTCTTGTGTCGACATTTTAAATTATGGATGTCATTAATTAAAATACTAAGCTGTAGTGTAGACCACAACTAAATCATTATAGATAGGCCTACAAGAGAAAATGTATGTGAAACGTTAACGTTCACTTCCTGCCAGACAAGTCAAAAAATTATCCTGGCTTGCGCAGCAATAAAGCTGCATTTTTTATCGTTCGGATCCATTTGGGTCCGATACAGACCCGAGCCAATTTGGATTCGATTCTCCCTCATCTCTGACATATTTTGGGTTGGATCTGGTCCACCTCGGATCCGGTATTATCTTAAAAAAAAAAAAAACATGTTGGTGTCGGATAGGAATTTCGCAGATCCAATTCGGTTCGGATCTCCATTTCGGGATCCAAGAAGACCTCTACAACAGTCTACTCTACAGGGTGTTAAAGTGTCAACTAACTCCTCATTATCAGTCATGGTGCGTTGGAAGGCTAGTGCGATAGCTACCTTGTTCATTTTCATACAGGTCCCAAAGTCTGCCAACTTCAAGTGGCCTGCTTTGTCTAGCAACATGTTATCAGGCTTCACGTCCCTGAAAAGACAAAAAATACAGTAATATAACAAACCAGCAGCTCTCAAACCTAAGACATGATATTATACAACCAAGGCATTCTCAAACCAACAACGGTACATTAAACTGCCGATTTAAATCCCAGTCGAGAGAAAGACCAGCTTTCTCAAATTCAGGGAGGTTTTGGAAGAGTGGCGAGAACTGCCACTACAGAACTGAGGTAGAAGTAGAGACATTCAAGAGCAACCTTTACAGTGGAAGTGAAGAGAGGATAAGACGAGACGAGGAGAGAAAGAGAAGTCCAGTAAGAGTATACCGGTGTATGAAACCCATGGCGTGGATCCCGTCCAGAGCCAGCACCACCTCAGCGGTGTAGAAACGGGCCCACTTCTCAGGGACGTCATAGTTGCTCATCAAGTTGACCAGGTCTCCGCCGGGCATGTACTCCATCACCATGTAGAGGTAGCGGTCATCCTGGAACGCATAAAACAGCTGGGGGGAAGAGCTTAGGGTTAGTGACCAAACCTAAATAGGAGGAATAGAAAGGAAAAGAGCAAAAAATAGAAATTGCATGAATATTCTGTTGTTGGCCTGAAACTCAATCACCGTCCTTCCTTGCAGATTGTTCCTAGTAGGCAAAGTGAGGACGAGACTAGGGAGTCACTATAAAGAACTGTGTGTTATTCAATGATCCATACCTGCACAACCCAGGCGCTGTTGGCAAAGGCCATGATGTCCCTCTCCTCCCAGAAGAAAGCAGAATCCGACCTCTTGATCATCTCAAACTTGCTAAGCAGCTTCATGGCGTACACCTTCCTCGTGGCTTTGTGTCTTACCTGGGAAGAGACGGGAGAACAGAGTCCAGTTAGGATGTATACTGGGCTTTCATACAGATGAAAACAAAGACTTAAGCCATATAATAATTTCATACTTCTGTATGTCTGTACCAGATTTATAAAGGGCAAGCAGACAGACAAATTAAAGTTGATTCACTCAGGACAAATTAGCATAACCATAATGGTGATTCTCACCAACTGCACTTCTCCAAAAGCACCCCTCCCGATAACCTTGACCACCTCATAGTCCTCTGCTTTCATCCGCAGGTCCCGGATCTTACTGATGGTGTCCTTATCTGAGGAGGAGAGAATACATTAAGAGGAAACCAGTTAGAGCAGGGCAAGCTTTTATCATTAGTAAGTATGACTAAAGAGGCTTTGTCCACCGACTCAGGCTGAGAATTCAGAACAGAAAAAAAAGCTCAACAGCAGATGAACATCTGTCAGTACTCTCACTAGATATCTGAAGCGCACAACATGACCAAAAAGTATGTGGACAAACAGCTCATTCCAAAATCACGGGCATTAATATGGAGTTGGTCCCCCCTTAGCTGCTATAACAGCCTCCACTCTTCTGGGAAGGCTTTACACTAGATGATGGAACATTCCTGCGGGGACTTGTTTCCATTCAGCCACAAGAGCATTAGTGAGGTTGGGCACTGATGTTGGGCGATTAGGCATGGCTCGCAGTCTGCGTTCCAATTAAACCCAAAGGTGTTCGATGGGGTTGAGGTCAGGGCACTGTGCAGGCCAGTCAAGTTCTTCCACACCGATTTCGAAAAAACAATTTCTGTATGGACCTCGCTTTGTGCATGGGGGCATTGTTGAAACAGTAAAGGGCCTTCCCCAAACTGTTGCCACAAAGTTGGAAGCACAGAATCGTCTACAATGTCATTGTATGCTGTAGCGTTAAGATTTCCCTTCACTGGAACTAAGGGGCCTAGCCTGAACCTTGAAAAACAGCCCCAGACCATTATTCCTCAACCACCAAACTTTACAGTTGGCACTATGCTTTGGGGCAGGTAGCGTTCTCCTGGCACCCCCAAACCAAGATTATTCCGTCTGATTGCCAGATGGTGAAGCGTGATTCATCCCTCCAGAGAACGCGTTTCCACTGCTCCAGAGTCCAATGGCGGCAAACTTTACACCACTCCTTCCAACGGTTGGCAATGTTTGTCTATAGCGTTTGCATGGCTGTGTGCTCGATTGTATACACCTGTCAGCAACGGGTGTGGCTGAAATAGCCTATTCCACTAATTTGAAGGGGAATCCAGATACTTTTGTATAAATAGTGTATAGTGCATTCAGAAAGTATTCAGACCCATTGACTTACAGCCTTATTCTAAAATTGATAAAATATTTGTTTTTAACTCAATCTAAACACAGTACCCCATAATGACAAAGCAAAAACAGGTTTCAAGATTTTTTTGAAAAATGTATTAAAAATAAAAAACAGAAATACCTTATTTACATAAGTATTCAGGCCCTTGAGACTCGAAATTGAGCTCAGGTTCATCCTGTTTTCATTGATCATCCTTGAAATGTTTCTACAACTTCATTGGAATCCACCTGTGGTAAATTCTATTGATTGAACATGATTTGGAAAGGCACACACGTCTATATAAAAGGTCCCACAGTTGACAATGCATGTCAGAGCAAAAACCAAGCTATGAGGTCGAAGAAATTGTCCGTAGAGCTCAGAGACAGGAATGTGTCGAGGCACATATCTGGGGAAGGGTGCCAAAACATTTCTGCAGCATTGAAGGTCCCCAAGAACACAGTGGTCTCCATCATTCGTAAATGGATTAAGATTGGAATCACCAAGACTCTTCCTAGAGCTGGCCGCACGGCCAAACTGAGAAATCGGGGGAGAAGGGCCTTGGTCAGGGAGGTGCCCAGAACCCGATGGTCTCTCTGACAGAGCTCCAGAGTTCCTCTGTGTGGATGGGAGAGCCTTCCACCAATCAGGCCTTTATGGTAGAGTGGCCAGAAGGAAGCCACTCCTCAGTAAAAGGCACATGACAGCCCAGTTGGAGCTTGCCAAAAGGCACCTAAAGGACTCTCAGACTGATGAAAACAAGATTGAACTCTTTGGCCTGAATACCAAGCGTCACGTCTGGAGGAAACCTGGCACCATCCCTACAGTGACGCATGGTGGTGGCAGCATCATTCTGTGGGGATGTTTTTCAACGGCAGGGACTGGGAGACTATTCAGAATCGAGGGAAAGATTAACACAGTAAATTACAGAGAGATCCTTGATGAAAACCTGCTCCAGAGCGCTCAGAACCTCAGACTGGGGCGAAAGTTCACCTTCCAACACGACAACAACCGTAAGCACACAGCCAAGACAACGCAGGAGTGGCTTCGGGACAAGTCTCTGAATGTCCTTGAGTGGCCCAGCCAGAGCCAGGACTTGAACCCGATCAAACATTTCTGGAGAGACCTGAAAGTAGCTGTGCAGCGACGCTCCCCATTCAACCTGACAGAGCTTGAGAGGATCTGCAGAGAAGAATGGGAGAAACTCCCCAAATACAGGTGTGCCAAGCTTGTAGCGTCATACCCAAGAAGACTCAAGGCTGTAATCACTGCCAAAGATGCTTCAACAAAGTACTGAGTAAAGGGTCTGAATACTTATGTAAATGTGATATTTCCGTTTTAATTATTTGCTAAATTTGCAAACATTTCTAAAAAACTGTTTTTGCTTTGTAATTATGGGGTATTGTGTGTAGATTGATGATGGGGAAAAACAATTGAATCAATTTTAGAATGAGGCTGTAACGTAACAAAATGTGTAAAAGTCAAAGGGTCTAAATACTTTCCGAATGCACTATATATAGAGCGGCAGGTAGCCTAGCAGTTAAGAGCGTTGTGCCAGTAACCAAAAGGCTGCTGGTTCGAATCGCAGAGCCGACTAGGTGACAAATCTGTTGATGTGTCCTTGAGCAAGCTCCTATAAGTCATTCTGGATAAGAGGGTCTGCTAAATGACTAAAATGTAAATGTCAATAAACTAGAACTTGTTGCATACACACCAGTTAGGCCCTACTTTGACCAGTGCTTTTGACACGCTCTCTACATTTGGTTGGCATACAGTCTCAAAGTATTTGTGTTTTCTGGCAGATAAAGCAGTGAAGGAAACCTCTTTCCGCTGACTGCACTACAGTGTTTCACTCTACACTATACACCATTTTGGCCACGATTTAGCTGTCTCAGACACGTTTTTGAGATACTACCTGGTGAAGGTAGTATTCAGCCAAATATGGTCAAAGCTGAACAGAACAATTTATTTATTCACATGGGTCACAACTGGCACAAGAATGCATGGAAAAGGGGGGAGCCCAGCTGCATCCGAGTTCAACTGACCTAAAAATAAAGCCAAGGACTATTAAAATCAGAACATTTTGATGCAGTAATTTCCAGCAGTTACAGTTTCATGGTTCCAAGAAAGTAAAGAACATGATCCCTACTTGAGAAATGATATAAAAAAATGGGATTAACATACATTTGTAGAAGCATTTTAAAGCTGAGATCCGCATAAGGTGAAACAGCGCCACTGGTCGCCCCAGGCCCATTTGTTATTGTTTTGTTTATGAAAACGGAGCAGAGGAGCATCCAGCATCGTGGTAAATATTTTTCTAGTAAATACTCTGCTGTTCTATCGCACAATGATGTGCAATGATGTCCGAGGGGGAAAAAACTTTGTTGTTTTAAGTAAGTCTTTGTTGTTGTAATATCCTAAAACGGGCGTGGTAGTTTCACCGCTATGGATTACAGCGTCATACACACACCAGTCCCTGCTCCTCTGTCGCCCCTCCCCCACCTTCTGCTGAAACAAGCAGAGCGCAGCGCAGCAGCTCCTTGTGATGCGCGGGTTGACTCATAACCCGCAGTGCCTGCGGTTATATCCGTCGGTTGGATGTGTTTAGGGTCATTAAATATTGTGTAGCTGTAGGGCGGGTGGGTGGGTTGAATAAAGAGAAACAATACCTTTAAAAATCCATAAAATGTATAATTATTGTGCAATGTATATAGTCTACATTGAGGGTTTTTCTTTCATTATTTCAGGCTATCTGGTATTAGTGCATAAACCTAAACTTTAGGGTTTAACTGTACGTGTGTCAAATTGCCTACACAGCCAATCGCCAAATAATGCATTTGGGAACCGGCAGAAAAAATTAACATCAAGCCACCGAGGCAAAAAGGGCATTGTCGAACTTCAATTCAATAAGACAAATGCTGTGAAAGGAGAGTCAAAAATAAAGAGAAGGGAGGGCCAGAAAATGTTCGGAAAATATTTGAAGTGGTAAAAGAGCATGATTGTGAGGCGCTATACAAATTCGACAGTCACAAGACGGGACTTCAGGCCTATGGCATGTCAAGGAAACTGTAGCCTACTGTTTAGATGGGTTAAATGGAAATTGAAATCTGGACAATGACTAACCAGAATAACCTACTGTTTTTTTGCAAACTCCAAAGTCCTCTGATAATACCAGTCCTGTGCGAATCGACATCCTTGTGTTTTGAGAAAAATGTCTGAGTTTTACAGGTGTTGCTCGATATTTGAGCAAGAAAACTATAACTGATTCGATCAATTGAACGAAATGCTGCGCATAGCCTATATATGAAGGGCCTACATGTATCAACTTTCACAGTGAATACTTTTGTTTATACGTTTTGTGCGAATGAATTGAACATCGCCATATGCATCATAAAAAAAGATTGCACCTATTTAATGCAAACCTTGCTGTTAATAGATCGCAAAGCAGCATACAACTGAGCTAAACGTTTGGAAAAAGTTCACTTTCTCATCCATAGCCTAAAAACGCATATCAAGTGCAAGTTAGCGGTTTAGCTCACATCTGAAGGCTGGGGGTCATTTAGGATGTCTTCAACTGCGGATCGCTAAAATAGCCTAATGATTATGATCACACTTCCTCAATTAAAATATTATGGCGACACTATACCAAAGACGGTTTGGTAGGGTTTAGAAACTTGGGAACCAAGCTCGAGTTATCAGTGTAGTCTGTTATCGCCTGGACTGGTTGAAACATCTTCACACTTACAAAAAAAAACCTCCAGGCTTCCATCATTTTCATTTGAGTCATTTAGCAGACGCTCTTATCCAGATCGACTTACAGTTAGTGAGTGCATACATTTTTCATACTGGGCCCCCCGTGGGAAACGAACCCACAACCCTGGCGTTGCAAGCGCCATGCTCTACCAACTGAGCTACAGCTATATATATATATATATATATATATATATATAACTGTCAATTTATATATATATATATATATATAAAGAAAAAAATTACAGGGGCCAGTTTGGAAAAAACGTATCCCGTCCGAACCGTCCTCTGGAATAACGGACATTCTGGGGTAATAAATACATAACCAACGTTCTCTAGTAATATTAGTCCCGTGTGAATAGGGCTATAGCCCCTAGGAAAAATCATTTATTTATTTCTGCATCTTGAGAGAATGCAATGCTCAGTTAGATACGATCTGTAGAGGTGCTGTCTTCTTCATAAAAGCTGATAGTATTTCAACCACATTATTCTGCTGAGCAAGGGTTTATTTAGTCTTCTAGGGCAACATATAATGACAAAAGAGAAGCAACATGTATCTAATTATAGACAAGTTGACTAACAAATAGCCTACCAAAATGTCTGAAATTATAAGCAGAAACATATCTAAATGGCAAAACAAAATCCTGCACCCCCTGTCAAAAAATCATTCTGTAGTCTCTGTAGCACATTTTCTATATTTGCGGGTTAGGGTTGGCTGCGGGCCTCAGATTTTCAGTCAGGTGGTTGCGGATGGGTTATTAGCAATTGCAGGCGGGTGAACAAACAACTGACCCCCGCACCACTACCGGCTACCTCTTGAGTCGCATGAGCAAGTTTACATTGAAGTAAAAAAATCTATATAATCATAACAATAAAAAAAAAACACATGTATTTCGACTATCTGGATATCATTATATTATTCAAATGCTGAAATCATTTCAAATGCCCATCACTAGTCACCAACATCGTGTTGCATCTATCTGACCATGAAGCCTGCAGAGTGAATGGCAAGAAAGTGCTCATGACTACCTGGTTGAGCAGCTGCTCTCTCCTTGAGTGACAGGGGGCAGGACTTGGTGTGGGAGAGGGCAGGGCTTGGTGTGGGAGGGGGCAGGGCTTGGTGTGGGAGGGGGCAGGGCTTGGTGTGGGAGGGGGCAGGGCTTGGTGTGGGAGGGGGCAGGGCTTGGTGTGGGAGGGGGCAGGGCTTGGTGTGGGAGGGGGCAGGGCTTGGTGTGGGAGGGGGCAGGGCTTGGTGTGGGAGAGGGCAGGGCTTGGTGTGGGAGAGGGCAGGGCTTGGTGTGGGAGGGGGCAGGCCTTGGTGTGGGAGAGGGCAGGGCTTGGTGTGGGAGGGGGCATGCAGCAGGAGGGGGAAAGGTGACAAATAGCAGATGGAGTAAACTATAAAAACTGACATTACACGCACTGGACTTGTGTATAACCTTTTATTTTTTTTAACATTAAAAATACCATTATAGAAGGTCAAGTAAAAACCCAAACCGGTCTGTGCAAGAATACCGGTATATAGTAAAATATGGAATATCGCCCAGCCCTAGCTGAACGTGAAAAAAGTACCAACAAGACTAATTGAACAAATAGTTTGTTTCTAATACGATGAACAGTTTGTGAAGAATTGTTAACATAGATATACTAACACGGATGACAAGAGTCCATGTGTAAAAATGCCATAGCCTCCATAAGTTCCACAGTCATAGGGGGTGTAGTGGTGAAGAAGGGAACCCGTCATGATAGACACCATGTGGGTCACCAGCTACTCATGAAAGCCCCTTTGTTGGGGACCCTGAGTGGGCTAAGCTTCAGACACAATTATACCCGGGCCTGGATAGAGGTGAGGCAGTGACCCAAAAACAGCCTCCACTCTCTCCTGCCGCCACTGCTAAATCGTTGTCGCGACTCAAAAAAAAAGATTCAAACAGTGTAAAATTAAACGACTAAAGCCAGATAAAACATATAGAAAAGATAATGGAGCTATATCTTTTTTTAATAATATAATCTGAGAACTAAATCACCAAAATAAAAACGACAGTCAAGGAGAATCTAAAATTGTTATGGGGCCCCCATTGATTTTGTTGTTATAATGTTTGAGTCACTCAGATAGTATAACAACATGCCATAAGCCATGGCAAAATGTGTAGAATTGCAGAAAATGTGCTTTAAAACAGCTAAATTGTGTCTCTGCAGCCAAGAGGAGGGCCTCTAAAAATGTTGGTCGGGAGATTGCGCCATTGGCCACGCCCACCACCACCCCAACCAACGGCAACTTTGCCACCACTGCTGAAAAAAATCCTAGGGGAAACACTGGTGTGTCTGTTCTACATGGCAGATTCTGCACAAAGGAAGGAGGACAAACGGGGAAAATATCCTCGTATGGGCTAGTTACTTACATCTATTCAAAAAGTTGTCGATGCTTTTGTTTTTCCTCAAGGCTGGAAAGTCAAGGTCGTACACCAACGCGTCCAAGCCATCCTAGAGAGAAAGAAGAAAATCATTAATAGAAGGTATATTATGAGGCCTAACGCCACAACTGGGGCAACTACTCTACAATACTCGAACCAGCTCACTATTAGCTGGCCTACAGTAGAATAACTCTATGGTGTGTTAACTGGAGGCTATAGGCTATAACCCAGCTATATACCCAAACTTTCACAACAAGCAACCCTGCAAGCAATAGCCCCAACCTGGCTTAGCCTACAGTGGCCAAGGTTTTCAGCAAATCAAAAACAAAAGATCAGATTTCTGTTCCACTTGTAGCCTAAACTTTTGCAATTTAGTTAAACTGATTAATAGCTGATCTAATGACTGATTTAAAAGGGTTTTGTTTCACAACTTTATCCATGTTTAGGGAGTTTCAGACCATAGAAAAAAAGCATTAAGGCAGGGCTCTACAGTGGCGACGATTTTACTCGCATATAAGGCTAAATATTTTGCTCTACGACCTGTAATTTTAATTAAGGAGCACCAGTGTACCTAGAAAAATTAAGGATTCTAGCTTTATTACCTGACATTTTTCATTGTGCTCCTAAATGTCTTTATGTGCACCTACACTTTACAATTTAGGCACACACGTCATCCTTGTAAAACAAAAAGGTCAGCGTAGAGCCCTGCAAGTCAATGATGTGACATCAAATGCCTGACTACATTTGGTCTCCAACAAAAGGATGGACAAAGCCTATTCAGTTAAACTGAACAGCTCATTCCCCTACAGCAAGATCTCAAATCTATGTTCATAAGAAACAAATTATTAATGGGCAGCTTAGCCACAGGCATTGAGTGTCACACTCACAAGCGTTGAGACTTCATTAAACACCAGCGACTTAGAACAGCAACTGAGGAAACTGAAGAATGAGAAAGCACTACATCTGATGACATAAAACAGTGGGTTGTAATAATGGCCTGAATTTCGCAGGTCAGGGAGCTCTTCAATGCAAACCTGTCTGGTTGACAGAGTTTCTACCTTAGTCAACTTGACAAGGCTTAGACAATTAGCACCTTGACTCAAATGGACGAAGATAATGGAAAAGGATTAGGTCAATGTCAACACCGCAGTGAAACAGTCCTCTCTACATCTCATGACATGAGGTCATCCATATGATGTTATTCCAACACTATGATTAACTCCCTAAATAAACACAACATTTTAATCCCCATTCATCACCCAGTTGTGAACATAAGGGCCCTACTCAGAACCTGGTGAGTCTGGGTCGGGTTGGGCCATGCTGGAGCATAAGAAGAAGTGCCACCGGCCGGCCAACTGGCGGGATTTAACCTAATCTTCCTTAATCCAGGATGTCTCACACAAAGAGGGCAGGGCCACATCATCAAAGAGAGCAGTTTTAGCCAGGGCCAGGCCTATAGCGGGACCGAAGCACCGCTGCAAAGTGTTGTATTTTGCAGCAGAACGTGTGCTCAATTGACTGGGGAACGGCTGGCTCACGGAGAAACTCGTGAAGGCAAAAAATTTTTTTTGATTAAGTAGGCCATGTTAATATTATTTCACACCTTGATATCTCGATCTATAAAAAGTTATCTTAGCTGCGATTGAACAACAGCAGGACATGTATGGTTCTTTCCTTAGCTTCCTCACGAGTGAGAAGGAAGCATTTGAGTCAAGTGTGATGTACTGATTGAGTAGGGCCTAGATGTAATGTATTCTGTTCTGTGACACCGGAGCACAGAACGTTGACCTTTGTCTACCTAGTTATGACTTGTACAACCAATCTGTGTGAAATAAAAACAATAGATGACACTACAGACAGAGAGGCCCGACCCTCCTCATGGGGAAACAAAAAGAAAAGCCACATGGTGAATCAGCTGCAGCTCAGACAAGCAGAGAGGAATGCTCTTAAGTAACTGATGGCTCCGGATGGTGGACAGAGATGGGGCAAAATTTACAAAATACAATTACAAAATACAAGTACAAAATATCTATGTATCATAACTACAAAATACATGTATTTTGAAATACATTTCATAAAAATACATGCATTTTGTTTTTTAAAATACATAAATGCATTTGCAAGTAGCCATCCCGAACAGCAACAACATTCTCAGTAACAGATACAGAAACATTTTATTTTCTATGAATGTGATGTTTATCTACCTCAGTTGAATGCACTGACAGTAAAAACACTGAAAAAACATATAAAACGCAACATGTAAAGTGTTGGTCCCATGTTTGAAGACCTGAAATAAACATCCCAGAAATGTTCCATATGCACAAAAAGTATATTTCTCTCAAATTTTGTGCACACATTTGTTTACATCCCTGTTCGTGAGCATAGGACTATTTCTGTCTGTAAAAATGCCCTTTTGTGGGGAAAAACTAATTCCCTCCCAGGCCCACCCATGGCTGCACCCCTGCCCAGTCATGTGAAATCCATAGATTAGGGCCTAATGAATTTATTTCAATTGACTGATTTCCTTATATGAACTGTAATTCAATCAAATCGTTGAAGTTGTTGTATGTTGCGTTTATATTTTTGTTGAGTCTAGTAAGTCACTCTGGATAAAGGCGTCCACATGCTTCCCAGCCGAAACAGTTCGAAAGAGTTCATGCATATATTATGACGACATTTTGTGATGTTTTTGTTCGTTTTAGACTTCGGTGAGGGTTTTTTCGGCTGTTCGGGCTCACACATTTTTTTCTAAAGGAAAGCTGAAGTTCGGAGCCGTAGTTTACGCCCCTTCATCGGTGATTGGTCAACAGTAGGGATTCTTCAGTAAAGTCTTTGTTGTCATTCAACGAAAGGCGACTCATTTTCATGCACATGTTTTCATTGAGAAATACAGCACCAAACATCTCAGTTAGATGTCAAATTGTACGACTAAGATTTACTCGGCAAAAACGTTTAATTCTGACAATTTTGAGGAAGTGTATACCGGATACAGCGTCTCAAAATGGACAAAAGTACTATTGCCACCTTTTCTAGTTTTTCAAGTGACGGTCTTTTAAGGGAGTATGCGAGCACACCTGTTCTGTTAGCAAAGTTCGGCTAGGCACCAGCCGAACTGAATCTGCTAAATGACCAAAATGTAAATGTGTATGTGAAAATAGCTAAATGAACTGCAACGCACACTAGGTATTAATTATTGGCTTTGTTTCGGGGCAGAGCTCATTAGAATAATACTCCGCATGCTTTGCGATTGTAAATTTTTACATATACATACATTTATATTTAGTTCATTTAGCAGATGCTCTTATCACACCATAGTGGCAGACTTCTGATACCCATGAGGGGGAAAGGGGGCCACAAAATGGTTAACCTCTATAAAATAAATAGTATAGAAAAGTATTTTGAAAATACAAATTGTTACAAAATACATGTAGTTCAGCCGAGAAAGTTGCAGGAAATACAAATCACTGATGCATTCTGTTCACGTCTTATGATAAACTTCGGCAAATTAGTACATTTTCAATGCATTTAGTTGATTCCCTATTAAGGTCAACTTGTTTTCATGCCTGGATTCCGTGTAAGTAAGTATTCAGACCCTTTGCTATGAGACTCGAAATTGAGCTCAGGTGCATCTTGGTTCCATTGATTATCCTTGAGATGTTTCTACAACTTGATTGGAGTCCACCTGTGGTGAATTCAATTGATTGGACATGATTTGGAAAGGCACACACCTGTCTATATAAGGTCCCACAGTTGACAGTGCATGTCAGAGCAAAAACCAAGCCATGAGGTTGAAGGAATTGTCCGTAGAGCTCCAAGACAGGATTGTGTCAAGGCACAGATCTGGGGAAGGGTACCAAAAACATTCTGCAGCATTGAAGGTCCCCAAGAAAACAGTGGCCTCCATCATTCTTAAAATGGAAGTTTGGAACCACCAAGACCCTTCCTAGAGCTGGCTGCCCAGCCAAATTGAGCAATCAGGGGAGAAGGCCCTTGGTCAGGGCGGTGACCAAGAACTCGATGGTCACTCTGACGGAGCTCCAGAGTTCCTCTGTGGAGATGGGAGAACCTTCCAGAAGGACAACCATCTCTGCAGAACTCCGGAGTGACCGGAGTTCATCCATCTCTCCAGCCTCAGATACATGGAGAAGACAGGGACACAGGGCCAAAAAAGCCTCTGCCACCACTGCACTGATTGACACGTTTCACACCATCATGCCAACCCGAACTGGTTGTTTTTCTTTACTTTTAATGCCATCACGTCGACTCAAATAATACAGTGCAGTTTCAGAGTTTGTGTGTCAGACTGTCCTTTCTATCTCAATTCCAGCCACTATGATGGATGCGGAACCAGACCAGCATTGTACAGCTTGGCTCAGCTCGTTTCAGCTCAGCTCAGTAGTGTGAGAAGGGTATTACAGAGTACCAGAGGTGTTCGCCCAGCAGCCATGGGAAGAAACGCACCCTAAGGACTACCAGTCTATCTTATTGTATATATAGCCTCCCTACTGTCACTTTATTTTTTACTTCTGCTCTTTTTTTCTCAACACTTTTTTGTTGTTGTTTTATTCTTACTTTTTTGTTTAAAATAAATGCACTGTTGGTTAAGGGCTGTAAGTAAGCATTTCACTGTAATGTCTGCACCTGTTGTATTCGGCGCATGTGACCAATAAAATTTGATTTGATTTGATTTTCTATCTGCTTTCCAGGCACAGGATGGGAATCGTGCAGCCACCATCAATGAATGCATAAGAAATGGGAAAAATTATGACTAATGCAATATGGCCAGCTGGTAGTGTCTGAGATGCCTAGCACAAGGAGGATCTAGGCCAAATAACTGCTCCGCACGGCATTGTTGCTTGATAGATTCAGACCAAGGTAAAACATATAAATGATACACTAGGCTAAGCCTAATTCAGTCAATAGACTAGGCCTATATGCCACTACAGCTCGTAAAAGGTAAGCCTAGGTCTATAGCCAGAGTCATGTATAGGCCTATAGCCTATCTCTAGTCCATAGGCTACAGTATGCTTCACTCCACACACTGAAGAAAATCAGACCTCTACCAATCATATATGGAAGTTTGGGGAAAATGGCTATAAAAGCAGACAGTGGAGAGTACTGCATTGCATCCTGCTAACTCTGTATTTCTCCTGCTTTCTGCTGATGCTGCAGGGAAGGGTGACATCCATCCCTAAGATTGTTAAATAATAACACAAAAAGCACTCTACGATTGATGAAAAGGACATTCATAAGTGCATGACTATACCAAATAAAATCTGTGGTTGACATAACATGGCAATTATTTATATTATGCTGAAGGGGAGCAAACTCCACACATTTTGTCAGACAACCTCTTTTTTCCACCAGACATTTCAGTTGGAGTTGGTTTCCATGGGCGACTTAACCACATCTTCCTTCTCTAAATGCCAACGCTGGGCACTGAAGTCAGGCCAGGCAGAGAGGTCTAAGTGTAGCCTTACCTCTTATTTCCCTAAAGATGTCACACCCACATTAGCAATACAGGTGCAAAATACATTAGGTACAATCTAAAAGGCCATCTAAAACCAAACAGTGCTCTCTCAGTCTGCAACTTATAAAGCTTGACCAATCAAATTAATAAAAAATATATTAAATGCCTTTTTGCATACTTCTTCTTCTGCAATGCATTGTCGATGGGGGAAAATCCAACTAATGGGCATGAATAGGACAATTTCCTGCATGCAGGGATGTAGGCCATAACTTTGGGCAACTGCCTGCCAATCAACAAGGCCCATCCTAAAGGCGAGTTTGTCGTCAATGCCTGAACAGAAAGTCTTTACATACAGACTTCTAACAGTACTGACAGGAAATCACACTTACCTAGAAAGACCGCATATCTAACAAGCATTGTGGATAAATGGCAATGACAGTGAACCCAGGCATGGCGAACTAGGGCATTCCATTTCCTTATGAGGCCCCAGTGAGTCGTACTGGCTGTCATAAAGGCTTTCATGTCAAAATATAATTGAGTTATTCCAACAGAGAGAGGAGCACCGCTCACACGTTCCTTAGTACTGACTGAGCCCTGGATTCTCAAAGCAAAGCAAAGCAAAGCAAACTCAGCCGTGGCGGCCTGCCTTGCCTTGGCAGGACTCCTGACCTCACCCCAGAGATAACCTAGCCCAACTAACCAATTTATTAAACATTGTCCTGAGGCTCCAAGAGCTGCAGCTCACTTCAGCTAGCTGGCTTAAGCTAGCTGGCTCTACTGAAGCACACAGACAGTACAGCCAGGGCAGGCAGAGGGGATTTCTTAGTTTGTGGGATAAAAATAACAGTA